CCGAGAGACAGATGGATTGCATTTGGCTGTAATGATAAACCACACGCTTTTTGTCCTGATGGTTGCCATTTTCCTAACTTGTAGCCAACCAGATGTTCTGGCCTCATACTGACATAGCCCATTGGAAGGGATACTTGGAGAACCTGGTGCCGGCCCGAGACATTTTGGGCCTTGAAGTGAAGAAAAAGATGGTGGACCTTCCCAATTGATCGATCAAGGGCTGTTGGTGAGATTTTTCCCACCCTAGCAACTGAGGCAGCATTCTGCGTTCTATGGGAAAGGAGAGCGCAGGTATGTTCCACCTGAAGAGCCAGCCTCACTTTCACTCAGCCTTGTCCATCACTTTACATCCTGAGGGGAAATGAGAACCAAAGAAGCCAGTGTGACCACAGGCACAGAAAGGGTGGACATGGCCAGTTCTTCCCCGGAGTTCAGTCTTGCCCCCAGCTCGGGGCCTCACTCATTTTATCATGATGGTCACCTGGACTGATTCAAAGCCATTTGGTTTTCTGGAGTGAGGGACAAGAGGACAACCCTCTACACCTTCTAGTCCTTGAGCAGAAACTGCAGAATTTGAGTCCAGCGCTTGATCCCCACACTTGATATGCAGGGAAAGCATCTCCTCCCGCTTCCACAGCTGCCCCATGTGGTTCTTGACTCTCTTTGACTAAAGGTAGGACCGGCTCTGCCAAGCCTGGATGTTGTACTTAAAGATTGTGACCTGTTACTTAACATTTGTTTTTGTAAGTATATTTTTAAAATATTTTATCAAGGTGCAAACTTTTGAGGAATGGTTGGCTTTCAAACAATATTTCTGACTGCTTTTGTTTGGCTCAGACATAAAAACCCAATTATTGCCTTTCTTCATACATCGGGGTAATAATGCCACTCCAGCTTCCTGTTTAGAATTTGATTTGCACACTTAATTTATTCTATTTATTTAAAGTTTTTATACGCCATCCCAATACTAAAAGTCTCTGGATAGCTTCCAAAAAACAAAAAAAGCAACCATATACAACAAACAACACACTGCATCTAATAAATGAAGATATAAACAAGGATAAAATCAACTGTTAAAATATTGGGGAAAGGCTGTTTATAATACTCTACTATTTAAATACTATCTAAGAGAGAGAGAGATCTCAATCTTCCTGCCCCCCAGATGTTTCAAAAGCTCGGCTAGTATAGCCAATTATCAGGAATTTTGGGGGTTGCAATCCAAAAATTCTGGAAGGCACTGAGTTCGGAAAGGCTTGGTATATCTATCACATGCACAGTTCTGGGTTATCCAATCTAAAAAGGATACCCTAAAAAAAGTATGGAAAGAGTCAGTTACAGTTATAATACAGCTGGGGCACTTCTCTGAAGAATGGTTAAAGTATTTGTAAGTTTTTTCTTTTCTTACAACTTGTAACTGGAAAGACGATAGAAATTTATAACAATTGAAATGGTGGTGAGAAAGTGGCTGGAGCAGAGAAGGGAAAGCCTTGTGCTCCTGCCATGTTGGTGGCATCCAACCCTATCTGCTGCAGCCAGCATGACAGTGCTCAGGGATGATGGGAACTGCAATCCAAGGAAAGGTGGCAATCCACAGGGTCCCCACCACTAGGCTGGAGAGCGATCCTTACCCACAACACCTCAGCATCACCAGACTAAAGGGATGGTTCAGGAGAAGCCAACAAAAGCAACTTCACACAACTACCTTGTGGGGGGTGGAGAATCCCAAGGGAGGAATTCCATTGTGGAGAAGTTCTCAGGGGCTGCATTCACATGGGAGAAGCCAAAAGCAAAAAAAGTAGGACCTAAATATTAGCAGAATTAAGCCTAAAGTTCTTACTGCCAGTAACTAAGCTTGGAAGAGGCATTTGGACCTATCACAATGGGGAAGAGAACTGTACAAAAGCCAAGAAACTGCCGAACAGTAAATTTGCGGATGGGGCAAGGGGTGTGCAGCCACCTGGAGGTATCCTGCTGGGTTGGATTTGGCCTTTCGGCCTGAAATTCTGCAGCCCTATTTCTGTAGGCATTGTTCCCACAAGATGTGGTGCTGGCCACTGGCCAGGACAACATGATGGGAGATTCCTGGAAGGCAGATCCTTCAACAGCTGCCAGCTTGAGCAACACACAGTCCTAAAATCACAGAACAGTACGTACGTACGTATGTATGTATTCATTTAAAACTTTTCTAGACCGTCCCATTACCGAAGTCTCAGGACAGTTTAACAATACAAAATGTAAAAAATTTAAAACTGTGTCCTAACAATTCAACTAATAATAAAAACCCAATTAAAACAGGCCTTAAAGCATTGGGAAAACAAAAAAGGAATTTTTTAAATTTAAAAAAGGTTTTATTTTATTTTAAAAGAATAAAGTGATGGCACCAGGCGAACCTCTCCGGGGAGCGAATTCCACAATTGGGGCACCACTGCAGAGAAGGCCCTTCTCCAGGTAGTCACCCTCCTAATCTCCTTCAACAGGGGCCACAAAGGCCATCAGGTCCAATCCCCTGCTCAGTGCAGAACTCCCAGTTAAACCATCCCTCTCGGATGGCTGCCCAGTGCCCACAACCTCTCTAGATTATTGTTGTATTGCTCGAACAGTCGGGACATTTTGCCTGATCTCTCTCCAGAATCAGGGTTCCTTCAACATGAGCCCATTATTCTGTGTCCTGCACTCTGGGATGATCAAGAGATCCGGCCCTTCCTCTCTGTGACTGAGCAGTGTCTGGACATATACCTGGCACCCCAGGGCCGTCTTAACAGGATTATGGGTCCCGGGCAAAGCAGTGTACTGGGGCCCCTAGGACAACTAAAACTACTGTTAATTTTAGAAGTTTTCCAATTTTCCAAGGGTTAACATACACAGATTAGTATGGGGCCCACGGGCAAGTGCCCATCAGGCCCATGCGTTAAGAGGGCCCTGTGGCATCCCACCCCAAGCGACCTTGGCCAGCTTCTCCCTTCTCGAGCGAGTGTAGGGCTTCATTCTCACCACCCTCTGGACACACCTCGTATCTGTCATGGCTCTCGTTACTCGCCTCTTTTCTAAACCAAACAATGCCAAGGGCGCTAAGCTTTCCTCAAAGGGGAATTGCTCTTTTGGGCACGTTAGGCGGTGTCCTGAACTGTATTCCGTCTTCTAAGTGCAATTACATCATAGAGTTACACAAGGGCAGGAAGATCTTGGCAGTTTAATTTTCAATTCCTTCCCTAGTTGCGTCCAGGATGAAGCTCGCCCAGCGGCACGCTGGGTGGACACGACCGGCTGAGAAAAGCGAGCCGTCGCGGCACTTTTTTCCTCCATTCACAGGATTGCGCGCTTCCAGACTGTTTAGGATGGCAGAAGCATTGTGCATTGGGGCCTATTTCACGTCGTAGATCTTGAAAAGGGTTGTCATGGGCAGAATTAAGCCCCTCCACCCATGGCAAGTTCTTCCTCCTTCAAAGGAGCACCGGAAATGTGTTACATGCTCCCCTTGTCCCTGACTCTTTGGTGCTCCCCCCCCCCGCCCCCCTTCTGCAGCCCGACCGCCCTCCTCCCCCAGCGCCGTCCCTGGGAAGTCAGCCCCATTGCATTCACCGGGGCTCGTCCTCCCAGCGTAAGGCGTGCAACCTCGTTCCCTCCGGACGGCGATGGGGCTGGGGAGATGATGGCGCAGGGGTTAAATCCGGATTCCCGGCGGAGCTGGGAAATGCGAGAGGGGAGGTGGATCTGGAAGTGGTTTTAATGTTCCGACGCTGCCTTCGAATGGCTGCTCCAGGGGCAGGTTTGGCGCAAGGGAAAGATGGAGAGACGCAGCACCTGTCTGCGGGTGCAAGAGGCGGCCAGGGCTGGGAAGCAGAGGAAGAAGGATGCCCAAGCGAGCCCCCTCCTGCATCCCCACGAACCTTTGAGCGCGTTCGTTGCTGGCTGACAAATATGCGAGGTGGGCCCTTTCAGAAGCAATTTCCCCTGACCCTGCCTATGCGGGGTCTTGAGGTGGAGCGAGAGAGAGACCTGCTGTATGACCAACCTAGTCTTGCTTTAGAGGTGTCAAGAGTGTTGTTATTCTTTCAGCGCTTTCAGTATGCAGTCGCAAAGAGAGAATGTAAGTGCCTTGCAGGTGGGGGCCTAACTGAGCCCCTAGCATAGGAAACGGGGACCCCCTTCTCCCCCAGCTGAGATTAAAATCCTGTTAGGGCCCCATCAATGAGGGCGTTCAAAGAAAGGTTGGACAACCACAAGCTGGGGATTACATGAGCAGAGCCCACTGGAGCTGGGGGTCAGACTAGATGACCCAGGAGACCCTTCTGACTGGCTTTGTTTCTATGTTTCTTACCTTTCATTCAAAGCCAAAGAGGCTGAGAGTGCAATCTTTGAGATGTCTACTCTGAAGTAAGTGCCACTGAGGACAATGGGACTGATTCCCACATAGAAGAATACAGGATTACAGCTTAAGTGAGTTCTTCCAGCTGCTGCCCCACTTCAGTGTATCCAGAGAGGGTCTCGTCAACTTGTTTTAGTTAGTGGGTTTAATTTTAACATTGGATGCTGGGCAACTGTTATTTTTATTTCTATTTTTAGAATTAAGTCGTCGTTAACTGCCCCAAGACATCTAAATATGGGACGGTATAGAAAAGTTTTAAATAAATTCTCAGATTAATAATGACTCAAATGTTCAGTAAAATGTATGCATTTCAGGGCTTTTCTATGACCTGCTGAGTAAAACAACTTGGCTTGATCTCCCACACTATTTTCTTCTCCAAAACAATCCAGTCTTTCATTATGTTCTTTTGTGTTCCATTTTTCTCGATCCTGAAGGGACCGATCCTGTGTTATCACCCAGGAGTTCCACCCAGAGACACTGTCTTGGAGAAAGCCCAGGCAAAATGTTGTAGGGTCCGCCACATGAACTGACCCCAACCTGCCCGTCACCGACCCCGAACTGCTGGCCACGTTCAACATCAGAGGGCTGCCAAATCTCCCAAGCTGCAGCAGAGAGCAGAAATCCAGAATTCAAGATGGAGGAGAGGTTAGAAGTGGCAGGGAAGGTCCTGCAGGTCTTCAGGAGGACGTGCTTAAAGGAGTTGCCAAGGCAGGCGGCACCACAAAATGGGAAACAGCGACCCAAGGACAGCTTTCCGCTGCCATGGATGGCCCAGTGCCAAGAGGTCTTGAAGGCGCTGGACTGCCATTGCTCAGGTTGGGGAAGCCCACCACTGTCCCAAGTTGGGCCTTGGGACGATGCCAAGGCCTTCCTGGCCTCCTTCGAGCAAGTGGCCAAGGCCTGCCGGTGGCCTCGGGGAGAGTGGGCGGCCCGGCTCCTGCCAGCGCTGAGCAGAGAAGCCCAGCAGGCCTTCAGTTCCTTAGAAGCGACAGACAGGGAGGACTATGCGAAGGTGAAGGCCGCCATCTTGCGAGGGGATGCGATCAAAATGGAGGTGCAATGCCAGCACTTCAGGCAGTTCCGCTACCAGGAAGTCGAGGACCCACGAAAGGTTTACGGGCAGCTCCAGGAGCTGTGCCACCGGTGGCTCAAGCCGGAGCGGCACAGCAAGGAGCAGATCCTGGAGCTACTGATCCTGGAGCAGTTCCTGGCCATTTTGCCCAAGGAAATCCAGAGCAGGATCCGGGTGTGGGACCCCGAGGCAGGCACACACATGGTCCCGGAGGAGTTCCTCCCAAGCCCCCAGGAGGCCACGACTTGGGACTGGCAGGTAAGATCTGAGATGTGCAATCCGAAAGTGTTGCCTCCACCAGGGCAAAAGAAATGAGGCTTAGCAATGCTCCAGAACGGCTTTGTATGGATTGCTACAAAGGCATGCCTCCTTGCTCCAGGAAGCCAAGAGAGCTACAGCTGTGACTCCTCCAGGCCCCTATCTTTCCCCAGATTTTTATTTCTTTACATTTCTTTATTTAAAGTTTTTCTATGCCTTCCTATTACTAAAACAGTCTCTGGACGGCTTACATTTCACTCTTCTTTCTGCAAGGAACCCGAGGCAGCAGAAAGAAGTCTTACAAAAGTCTCCTATTTTATTCTTATAACAACCCACAGATGTAGGCTGAGCTGAGAGTTTGTGGCTGGCCCAAAACAACTCAATGAGCTCCATGGTCAAGCAGAGACTAGAACCCGGATTGCCAGAGTCCCAAGCCAGTCCTCTAACCACTATACCACACTGTCTCTTTCCTTTTGGGGAGCAAATAGCATAATTTTAAGGTGGGAGGAACTCTGGAGGCCACTTTGCAGAACACCCTGCTCAGGGCGGGAATCTTGCTGATCTGTCCACAGTAGGAATCCAGTGCCTTCCATTTGCTTTGAACTGTGACGCTCTTTCGCTCTGTCGTCCGAACAGGGCCCACCTTGCCCTTTTCAGGTGCCATTGGAAGATCTGCCCACAAATCCTTCAAAAGCAGAAAGAGCACCTCTGAGGGGTGTCTCCCCTGAGGCCAGGGAGCAAATGGACATGGATCTTTGCCCGCTAGGTGAGGATTCACTGGCAGCTCCTGGGATGCCTTTGGGAAGTGCGTACGGGATGAATAATGGACAGATTTCTCCTTCCTGCTGAGCTTCCTCTGCCGTATGTGGACAAAGGGGGTGAAGTGGCTGCGTCTGCCCTCAGCTCATGTAGGACAGGGGTGCACCCACATAGGCTGGGGCGGCGTGTGTCCCAGAATCCTCTGCAGCTCCTCTTGAAGGAGGTAAAAGGACATCTACTCGGAGGAGGGCCTTCCCTGTGGTGGCGCCCAGACTGTGGAATGCGCTCCCTAGAGAAGTTCTCCTGTTGCCGAGTTTATATTCTTTTCGGCGCCAGGTTAAAACCTTTTTATTTATCAGTATTTTATCAGTATTTTTAATGGTTTTTAACAGTCACTTTTGATTGATTTATTTTTATTGATTATTTATTGTATTATGTATTGTTTATTGATTGTTTTTATTGAGATTTGTATTTTATTGTTATTTATATTAATATTTTTGTAAGCCGTCCTGAGGCTGTGGCAAAGGACTGCATATAAATGTTTTAATAAATAAAAATAAATAATAAATAAACTCTCCGATGGGCAAAAACTGTCATGTTGCTAGCGCCTGTTGCAGGCCTGGATTGGGAGCTCTGCCCATCCACCTTTGCCCTTTATGGTTCAACAACAATCCATGTTTCAGTAATTCCATGCTGTTGTTTGGACTCACTGAGAGCAACCAGACCATTGGGTGAACTTGGGCTGGTCGCTACCTCGCCATCTAATCTACCCTACAGGGCTGTTGGGGACAAAAGGCGGGTTGGGCCGCATATGTCTGTGGAGGATGTGAAGTGAGAATAAGACGATAGAATGGATCAAACATTCCTTGCCCTCCGTACTTGCTCCAAAAGGCAGAGAGAAGAGGATGGTTTTGTGGGAAGAGATATTTCTTTCTGGATATGAGAGTGGCATTTGGAATTTATGGAAAAGGGGATTAGTTGAGTGGATGAATGTAGATAATCAGTCCTCCTTCTGAAATTCCCACTGCCGTCCTTCACGGCCAACAAAATGTTTTCCCCAAGTCTGCCGAGCTTGTTGTCTCACCCTGAAGAAATGGCCGCAGCTGGGCTTACTGAGGTACGTGACGTTTTGGTGGAGTCTTAGTAAAGTAAATGCTCAACTCTAGAACCTGTTTGAAACATAAAAATTAGTGCAAAACAGGATTCCAAAGATTTGGGGGCCACCACTGAGAAAGCCTTGCCTTTAGTGCCTACCAGACAGATAGATCTTGATGGTGAACCTGTGAATAGGACCGCAACAGCCAAGTTTCTGTGGGTGCAAGCAGTCCTTAAAATGAACTCTTCCCCAAAGATTCATCTCCCCGTTTCTGCCTTAAACTAGGGCCACTCAAGGCCACTTGGTAAGCACCAGTGCAAGACGAGAGAAAAAGAAATCACGTGTTTATATAGGATAGTTGAAAGAACGCTCTGAATGCTGAAAACGAACATACTGAAGAGGATTCTAAGCCAGCTTTTTCCGTGGCACGCTGGTTTCCTCTGCACAGGGGTATTTCAAAATGCACGACAGCATCTCAGCTCCCGTCCAGAGTCTGCAGTGGTGCAAGTCCAGACCCAGCTTTGGTGTGAACTAGGCCTGTGTCAAACACTGCTAGAGTCTATGGGTCTGTTTGCTTCCAAATGAACATTGCAACACAACCTAACATACTAAATGAACCTCTTCTTAGCGACAATTTTAAAACAAAACAGCTCAAACAATTATAATATATAATGATAGTAAGAAAATACTACAACCCCTGCACCCAAGTCCCTGGCAGCAGCACCAGTACAAATAAAACCGGCTGTGGAGCTGCAAAGTTGAAATGTCCTTTTGAATTCAGCACGAATGAAGGAATCCAAAATGCTCCCTTCGATTGGTCTGAACACAGAAGAGTCGGCTGCATGCGCAGAATCCTCAAAAGCCTGGAGTAAAATGCCAATTCAATTGCATATACACAGATTCATTATGTGGATTTGCTCCCAGCACAAACATGTGGGAACTGTTAGGCTGGACATTTCTGGCACAAGATTAGCATAATAGAATGATATCAGTTGTCTACAAAAGCTAGCATAATAGAAGGCTTTGTGTATTGAGTTAGCATAATAGGAGGCTTTATGTATTAAAATAGCCTAATAGGAGGTTTATCAGTTGCCCCAGGCATATACAGAGTGTTACTTCAGAAAATGGGCAAGGCTTATCAAAGGCATAAAAACGTAAAAGGATAGGCTAACTGCAAACCGCTCCGCTTTTGTATCAAAATATAGACTAACCGCAAAACCGTCTCGCTTCTGTATCATGCTAGCTCGCTTAGGTTGCCAACAATAATTTTCCATTTGTTTGTAACATGGTATAAAAACTCTGCTTTCCCTCTACGGAGGGGCCCCGCACTCATCCCATCCTTGTGTGAGAGTGCTGGTCCCTGCGCAGGTAATAAAAAAAACTCCTCTTAAAAATACCAACTGGTCTCTGGTCTCATCTGTAAAACCGTGGGACACAACAGGAACGTTACCTAAAGCGCAGCTCCGGCCTCTTCAGGTTTCCTGCTCTTTTTGATTTGAATTTCTTACAGCCCCGCTGTTGCCTATTCCCACCTCTTTGAGCTGAGCCAATATTTCATGGGGCTTGCATAATCATGAGGATGGATACAAGGAAAAGGTATTCTCAAGAATTATGTGGTCCCTAAGCATAGCATATCCCCATAACGACCACATGCGTTTCTATAGCATGGCCAGTTTTTGTATTAGCTTCTGTATCCCAAGAAGTTTAAAAGTGGGCTCCAAGATCACTGCCCACAGGGACTGCAGCCAAGAAATTAAAAGACGCTTGCTCCTGGGGAGGAAAGCTATGGCAAATCTAGGCAGCATACTAAAAAAGCAGACACACCACCCTGCCAGCAAAACTGCGTGTAGTCAAGGCTATGGTTTTCCCAGTTGCAATGTATGGCTGTGAAAGCAGGACCATAAGGAAGGCTGAGCACCGAAGAATTGAGGCCTTTGAATTGTGGTGCTGGAGGAGACTGTTGTGACCTGACCCCATAGAGCTCCCCTTGAGCTGCACGTCTGCACAGAATAACAGGAAATATAGCAAAACCACAGAGACAGCCTGGCCCAGGTGCACGGGTAAAAGGCATGTCGGATGCACGCTACCTGCAAGGCTTACCGTAAGACAGAGCATGCTGAGCTAACCGCAGTCGTTACGCCCTTGTATCCGTGCTTGCTTGCTAAAAGCAGGAAAATATGTTGTTATTCAAGCACCTGCATAGACCATTGAAAAAACAAGGGTATAAAAACCCTGCTATCCCTCTGGCAGGGGCCGCACTCTTACCTGAGTGTTGGTCCCTGCGCAGGTAATAAACTCCTCTTAAAATGCTAATTGGCCTTTGGTCTCATTTGTAAACCTGTGGGTTACTACAGAGACTCCTGCGAGTCCCTTGGACAGCAAGGAGAACAAACCGGTCATTCTTAGAGAAGGTCAACCCTGACTGCTCTTTAGAAGGCCAGATACTGAAGATGAAACCCAAATACTCTGGCCACCTAATGAGAAGGAAGGACTCCCTGGAGAAGAGCCTAATGCTGGGAACAATGGATGGCAAAAGGAGAAGGGGACGGCAGAGGATGAGATGGCTGGATGGAGTCACTGAAGCAGTTGGTGAGAGTTTGAGTGGACTCGGGGGGATGGTGGAGGACAGGAAGGCCTGGGGGAGTGTTGTCCATGGGGTCACGATGGGTCGGACACGACTTCGTGACTAACAACAACAACAAAGTCTCAAATTATATATAAAAAGTCTATGAATTTATATAATCTATATATATTTTAGATATAAACTTATGTAAATTATAAGTTCCAAATTCTAATTTTAAAACTGTAAGTTTAAAAGTAAAAATTTTAAAACTAAAACTATAAGTTTAAACCTTATAATTACTGTTGTGAACCGCTCAGAGAACTTTGATTATGCAACAGTATAGAAATGAACATAATAAAAATAATTTAAATATTGACCATGATGAGATTCAGTCAAGGGCGAGGAATGGAGAGTAACAACAACAAATAAGAAAAACCTTAGCAGAATGGCATGGTTATTAGTGTCAATCCTGGCAGATCTTGGGTTTGAGTCTCCCCTCAGCCTGGGTAACTTTGGGCCTGGCACTCTCTCTCAGCCTAACCTACCTCGCAGGGCTGTTGTGAGAATAAAAAGGAGCTAAGCAAGCCACCTTGGGTTCCTCACAAGAGGAAAAAGGTGAGATAATAATAGTAATAATAATAATAATAACAATAACAACAACAACAGCAACAACAGTATTTCTGATGTGCAGAGCTGAGCATTGCTGCTTATAGAGGGAAAACCCATGCAAAAGAAGATTTAGGGAAATCCCAAGGTTTGCAGGAGTGCAAAATCTAAACACCCTGGGGGCGGGGGGGAACCCTAAGTGTGGGGAGGAAACCCCAGCGAGGACTTGGTGTACTCAGGCATGGGGTTTCACTGAAGGGGGAACGGAATGGAGCATCATGGAGGAGGGCTGACTGGCTCATTGGAAACGTGGTCAGGAAGTACATCCGCATTACTGCATATCCCATCCGTGCAGCATAATAATGGTTCCCCCTCCGTTTTAACTGTGTTTATTTATTGCAGGGGTGGGGGGGGCTCCTTTATCATGAAGGCCGGATTCACTTTTAGCAGAAGCACTTTCAGAATGGGGGGAAAGCTGCACCAAGGCGGGACTGGCCCCTGGCAGGCCTGGATTCGGCCTGAGGGTCCCAGCCCATGAAAAAGTGCATTAAAACGGGCTCCGGAGGACGAGATCTGCATGGTGTTTTGCGGTTTCAGGGGAGCATGAACTCAGACGGCTCGGCTGGGTCCTTGGACAACAGGGCATGGGCTGTGTCAGACCCCATCCTGGGAACAATGTCATGCAACAGAGCTCCGAGGATATCAGCTCTTTGGGTAAATATGGCACGAGGGCTTTGGTTTACTGTGTTTAATTATTTTCTAAACTGCTCAAAGTCAAGGCTCTCTGGGTGACTAGCAGAAGTTTTAAAGAGAGCCAGTGTGGTGTAGTGGTTAAGAGCATGGGACTGGGACTCGGGCAATCTGGGTTCTGGTCCCTGCTCGGCCATGGAGTCAACTGGGTGACTTTGGGCCAGTCACAGACTCTCAGCCCAACCTACCTCACAGGGTTGTTGTTGTGGGGATAAGATGGAGGAGGAGAGATGATGTAAGCTGTCTTGAGCCCTTTCCAGGAAAAAGGCAGGATATAAATCCATAAATAAATAAATGACACTCACCAAAATTAATTTAAAAGTAGGGAATTTCCGATTCCTTAGTAGGAATGAGTCTCTTAAGGTGAGTAGGTGGTTTATTTGCAGAAAAGTCAATTTCACCTCACTGAGGTTTTTCCTTCATGGGTGAAATGGGCTTTCCTTCTAAATAATACCAAGTGATAGGCAGCCAAACGCTACGAGGTGCAGATTGATTTATTTAATGATTCCTTGAGAACCCATGTGGTATGGAGGGCTGGGGAACTCGGAGATCTGGGTCTGAGTCCCACCATGAAGCTTCCTGCCTGGACCTGGGCCAGGCGCTCACTCTCAGCCTAACCTACCTCACAGGGTTGTTGTTGTTGTTGTTGTGAGCATAAAATGGAGTGAAGGAGGACTATGTAAGCCACCCGGGGTTCCTTGCAAGAGGAAAAAAGGTGGGATATCAGTGCTATGTGACAATAACAATAGGATGCTGCCCAAAATTGTAGAATTTCTTTGAGATGTTCTCTGAGCAGATCAGAAGTAGATTCTTGATGGGGAGTAGAGAGATGGTGGGGAGTAGTGGTTAGAGTAGAGGGAACTCAATTGGTTCAAAATAGAGGGATACTCAATTGAGGGATACTTCAGTTGGTTCAAAATAGAGCTGCCAGGCTGCTGACGGGGACTGGGCGTTATGTTCACATGACTCCAGTCCTCCGTCAGCTTCACTGGCTTCCCATTGAAGTCCGGGCCCAATTCAAGGTGTTGGTGATGACCTATAAAGCCCTAAATGGCTTGGGTCCTGGTTACCTGAAGGAGCGCTTACATCCATATACGCCCGCCCGCCCCCTAAGATCGGCAGCAGAGGCCCTCCTCCAGGAACCCTCCGTGAAAGAAATTAGGAGGGTGGTTACTCGGAGGAGGGCTTTCTCTGCGGTGGCGCCTAAGTTATGGAATGCGCTCCCCAGAGAGGTCCGCCTGGCGCCGTCGTTATTTGTTTTTCGGCGCCAGGCGAAGACCTTTTTATTCAAACGTCATTTTAACTGTTAATAGTATTTATTTATTTTATTCTTTGGCCAGGGCGACTTATTTTATATTGTTAATTTATATTATTTTAATTGATTTATGCTGTGAGCCGCCCCGAGGCTTCGGCGAATGGGGCGGCATAGAAATTTTCTAAATAAATAAATAAATAAACTCAGGACTCTGCCATGAAGTTTACTTTGGTGACTTGAGGCTGGTCACAAGCTCTCAAACTAACCTACCTCACAGGGTTGTTGTTCAGAGGATCAAACATAAGAAGCCAGATGGAGTTCCTGCAAAGAAATAGAGTTGGAGTATATATGTGATGTGACAATAGTTATACTAACTCCACACCGTAATATATTACTGCAGGACCTCCTTGTTAAAATTCAACCAACGGTTTGTTTTAAAAGGGGGGCGGGGGTCATGCAGCGCTTTAAATTGGTTAGGTTGAAATCGATTGATAGTCTTTCCCCCACAAAAGCTCTTTCCTCCTCTTCCCACTTTCTTTCTTTCTTTAAGGAGGATTTGTGATTCCAAAACCTGAAGCTGTATCCCAGATGGAACAAGGAATGGTTTTCATCCAGGATGCTGAGGCTGGGGAGGCATTTCCAGGCAATGTCGCAGGTATGGAGGGGTTATAAAAGGGCGAGCTCCAGGCCGGGGTCCCATGCAAGCCACTATGCACAGTTCTTCCCCCTTTTATCCTCATGGCAACCCTGCGAGGTAAGCTAAGTGAAGAACCTCCTCTCCCTCAGGGCCCTCACTCCAGGCGCACATGCAGGCAGACCCACACTGAAGGGTGCCTCCTTTGCACCTGGATGTGGCAGAATGAAGTAGACGCCTGAGGGCACAGCTGACCCCACTGTGCTAAAATTGTCCCTATGGCAGACAGCCTCCCCACAGCAAGAAAAATGCTTTGGCCTGCAGGGCTGATTTTCCGGTCTATATTATTGTTAGTGTCTCCTTCCATAGGTGCCCACCCAGCCCTTACGATCTGGGGCAGATGCCCCTGGTGCCCTCCCTGAAGGAGATTAGGAGGGTGGCTACCCGGAGAAGGGCCTCCTCCGCAGTGGCACCCCGCTTATGCAATATGCTCCCCAGAGAGGTTCACTTTATTCTTTTTGGCGCCTTTTTATTTTCCCAATATTTTAAGGTTTGATTGTCATTTTAATACGGGTTTTATTGCTAGGAATTAATTAGGATGCTGTGTTTTATTTTGCTCTATTGTCAAACCATCCCGAGACTTTGGTAGTGAGTGGTATAAAATAGTCTTAAATAAATTAAATAAATAAATTTCTCCTTTGCCTATCCCTCCCTCTGACATAAGAAGTACGGTTAGATTGTATCTCTGCCTGCCGGCAGGTGATGAGGACCCCGTTAAAATCAAGAAAGAAGATTCCCAGTCAAGAAGTCAGGAGCCAGAAGAAATATGCAGCATGTCCTTGGAAATATCCCAAGGGACAGCTTCTTTGGTGGCTGAGATTCATGAACGCGGGTGCAACTCCAATGGGCAGGAGGGGAAGGAGCTGCTGGAAGACTGGGACGAATCTACGGAGATTGCAGGAAGCCACACGGCAATCAAGGACTCTGCAAGTCACGGGCGGATGAATAGGTTTTTGCACTCCAAGAGCGGGATATGGTACCGATGCAGGTCAGGACTGGCTGCAAATCAGCAGGTTCATTCTGGAGCAACCCCTTATGCGTGTGGGAAGCGCTTCCAGAAAAAGAACTACCTTGCTAAACATCAGAGAAGCCACGTGAGGCCCGAAGTGTATCAATGCTCTGAATGCGGGGAAAGCTTCAACTGGAGAGAGGGGTTTGTTAGACACTGGGAAAAGCACATGGGCGAGAGGCTCCATGAGTGCTCTCAGTGCGGGAAATGCTTCAGCCAGAGGGAAAGCTTAAACAGACACGAGAAAATCCACACAGGGAAGAAGCCGTACGAATGCCCTGCGTGCGGGAAACACTTCTGCCGGAGAGATTCATTGGTAAGGCATCAGAAGTTCCATACAGGAGAGAAGCCCTACCAGTGCCCCGAGTGTGGGAAAAGTTTCAATCAAAGGGAGGTCTTGCTTAGACATCAGAGAATTCACACGGGAGAGAAGGCATACGAATGCCACAAATGTGGGGAAAGCTTCGCACAGAAAACCATACTGAACAGACACGAGAAAGTCCACATGGGAGAAAGGCCTTATTAATGCTTTGAGCATTACGGCGTTTCTTTCCTTCTAAAGGAGACGCTGCCCTCCGGGTCTCGCGGCCTTCCCCATCCTGGCGTCCTCCAGGTGCTTTGGAGTGCAGCTGCCACCGGTCCCAGCCAGCGGTGCCAACAATCAGGAATGCGGAGCATTACAGCTCCAAACATCTGTAAGGCACCATGTTGGAAGGCAGGGTTGCACAAAACAATTTGGAAAGCCCAAGCAATGCTCATGTTCTCAGAGGCATTCGGAGCCATCGTTCAAGGGCCCGTTCGTCGAGATCTTCCGGTGAGACCCTCTCCTAGAAAAGTGGACCGTGGAAGCGGAGAATTCCGTTTCCCCTTCCCCATAGCTCCATGGCAGGCGATGCTCACTCCTCTCCATGCAGAATATCCCAAGCTCAGTGCCTGCTGGCTCCCGTTAGGAGGAAGCCGGTAGCTCCGTATTTTCCAAGTGAGACTTGGTGAAGGAGGTTTGCTGTGAGGCAGCTCAGGGGCAGTAATGCCTACGTTACAGGATTGTTCGAAGGATCACTATTAGATCATTATTACTGGGCCTCCAGCAAACATCTGTGTGAAACACACCCTGGAGCCAACAGCGTCCAACCCTTAGGACTTTTCACCGCTTGGTAAGCATTTTTTAAAAATTTGTGAAACTTGCAATACGACTAAAATCGCACTGACTCCAACGGGGCTGGACTGGTGTTACAGCATGCAAGACTTCATCTGAAAATTATTTTTAAGGTTGCTGCTCAGCTGTTCCTTTTCTTGCATCTATTCTTCCTCGTGTTCTCTTTGGTAATTCACTAATATTATTGTGTGTGTGGGTGTGAGTATGTGGACCTATGTTTTAATTCTTGCTTTCTTTTGACTTAATTTTAAACATTGTACTAGTTTTTACACATTTTCTACATAGCTTTGAGCAGTTTTGGAAAAGGAAAAACAAGCCTAAGATTTTTATAAACAAACAGATAAAAGTTTGTTTGACCTGCCTGACACCCTTTCAGTGGGACATCTTTGATTTGCTTTGTAATGCAGTCTGATTTCACCCTTTGTAGAAATGTCACAACAGGAATAAATTCAATAAGAAGAACATAAGCACATGAGAAAAGCCATGCTGGGGCAGACCAAGGGTCCAGCCAGGCCAGCCACCCACAGGATCCCTCCAGCAGGATGGGTGCAAGGCCTCCTCTGCCCAAGCGCCTCAGCATCGGGTGCGTGCAGGCAGGCCACCTCTGGTGAGAGAGGAAACACAGGGCAGCAGGGCTAGTGGCCAGAGAGCCTCCTCCCTCACGAATCTGTCCAATCCCCTTTTAAAACCATTAAGATGGGTGAGTTCCACAGTTTAACATGAAGAATCCTTCCTTTCTCATTTCTCATTTTAGCGAGTCAGAAGGGGCCTCCCGGGCCATCTAGTCTGACCTCCGGCACCAGCCGGCTCCGCTCATGACATGCCCACCATGTGGACGTCCGGTCTATCCTTGAACACCTGCACCGACGGGGCCCCAACCACCTCCCGGGGAAGCCCATTCCACACCCTCGGGGTCCTGACTGTCAGGACGTGCTTCCGGGCATCCAAATTGAACCTGGGTTCCCTGCACTTTGCTCCGTTGGAGCGCGTCCTGCCTTCCTCTGCAGGGGAGAACAGGTCTCTACCCACCTCCGTGTGACATCCCCTCACATACCTGTATGTCGCCAACATATCCCCTCTGAGTCTCCTCTTCTCCAGGCTGAAGAGACCCAGTTCCCTCAGTCTCGCCTCATACCCCATCCCCTGCAAACCGGCCACCAACCTTGTGGCTCTACGCTGCACTGACTCTAACCTGGCTATATCCTTTCTGTAATGAGGGGCCCAAAACTGAGCACAATACTCCAGTTGCGGGCGCACCTGAGTCATATAGAGTGGTAGCAATTCCTCTCTTGATCTAGAAGCCACACTTCTGGCTATGCAACCAAGGGTGGCGTTCGCCCTCTTGACCACAGCATCACACTGCTGACTTGTGTTTGGCCTGCAGTCAACCAACACCCCGAGGTCCCTTTCACAAGTGCTGCTCTCTGGCCACTTGTCACCTAACCTGTACTTATGACACCCATTCCTAAGGCCCAAGTGCAAGACCTTGCACTTATCCACATTGAACGCCATCCTGTTGTCTCCTGCCCACTTCCATAGTCTGCCCAGATCCTTTTGGATCTGGAGTACCTGCTCCTCAGTTGTGGCCACTGCTCCAGTTTTAGTGTCATCTGCAAATTTGATCAGCAGACTGTTCACCCCTTCTTCCATGTCGTTAATGAAAAGATTAAACAGGATCGGCCCCAGGACAGAGCCCTGGGGGACCCCACTTGTCACTGGCTGCCATCCCAATGATTCCCCGTTAATGGTTACCTTCTGCTTTCAGTCAGTCAGCCATGCCCTAATCCACCTGACAGTGCTTTGGTGTGTCCCAAAACTCCTCAGTTTCTCCACCAGGATATCATGGGGCACTTTGTCAAAGGCCTTGCTGAAATCCAGGTATACCACATCCACTGCATCCCCTCCATCTAGCCATCTCGAAACCTTGTCATAGAATTCCACAAGGTGTGTCTGGCAGGACCTGTTTTTGCAGAAACCGTGTTGTGTGGCTGCCAGCCTCCCTTCCCTATCTAGCAGCACTAGATCTCTCTCTATTATGAGCCTTTCCATTGTTTTTCCTACAATGGACGTAAGGCTAACAGGTCTGTAATTCCCCATGTCCCTTCTACTACCCTTTTTGAAAATTGGGACCACTGATGCCACCCTCCAGTCCTCTGGAACTTCACCCGTTCTCCACGAGGTCTCAAAAATGGAGGCCAGCGGGTGTGAGAGAACCCCTGACAACTCTCTAAGTACTCTCGGGTGTAACCCGTCAGGGCCTGGTGCCTTTGTAATGTCCAATGCCCTGAGGAGCCCCTCGACTTCAAGGGGGGGTGACTCTAATCAGTGCCCCTAAGTCCCCAGCGTCATCTAATCTCCTATGTGGATATCCCCCGTCCTGCTTTGGGGAGAACACAGAGGCAAAATAGTCATTTAGCATCAGTGTCTGTTCCCTCATATCAGTCACTGGATCTCCTTCCTCCTTATTTAGTGGTCCCACCAGTCTCCCCTTCCTCTTCCTATTTACATGCTGAAAGAAGCCCTTTTTATTGCTCTTGATATTCTTGGCAAGTCTCAGCTCGTAATCAGCCTTAGCCTTGCGAAGAATCCTCCTGCAACAGGCCTCCTCCTCCCGGTATACCCTTTTGTCTATTTCCCCCTTCCCCCAGTACCCATTTCCTACGGAGGTTCCTCTTTTGTCTAATCCCTCTAACCACCTCCTTTTGCATCCGTGGCGGCACTCTGCTCCGCCTCCCCACCTTACTGACTAGAGGTATCGTCAAGGCTTGTGCCTCCAAAACCTCCCTTTTAAGTGCTATCCACCCCTCCTCAACTCGCTTACCTTCCAGTAACCTATCCCAGGAGACTCCCCAGTCTGGCCTTCAGTTGGCCAAAGTTGGCCCTCTTGAAGTCCCAGCTTCTAGTGCTCGACCTGCTGCACGTCCCCAGTCCCCTCATCTCAAAGCAAAGGATGGAATAATCACTCGCATCCAGAGCTCCCCTAATCTGTACTTCATCTATCAGCTCCTCCCTATTGGTCAAGACCAAGTCAAGGATGTTTCCCCCCCTCGTCACCTCTCGGACCCTCTGTATGGAAAAATGCTCCCTCAATAGCTTCTAGGAAGCGACGTGACCTGGCTGTCACTGCCGAGTGAGTCTCCCAAGTAATATCCGGGAGATTGAAATCTCCCATAATTACTGTGTCTCCCGAGATATCCTTAGAATCTGACCTGTCAGGACATCATCCAGGGCCTCAAGTTGACCTGGAGGGCGATAACATACCCCCACCGTGAGGTCCCTTTCCCTGTCAAAACCCCTAAGTTTCTCCCAGACTGCCTCTACCGAATCCCCATCTGTGCTGCATTCTATCTCACTGCATCCAATCCCTTCCCTGACGTATAAAGCCTCACCCCCACCCCTCTTTCCCTTCCTGTCCTTTCTAAAAAGGTGATACCCTTCTATGTTCACGTTCCAGACTTGCCTTTCATCCCACCAAGTTTCTGTGATCCCCACCAGGTCATACCCTCCTATTCCCAGGAGAGCTTCTAGCTCTTCCTGCTTATTACCCATGCTCCTAGCATTGGTGTACATGCACCTCAACTCCTTCCCACCGCTTCCTTTCCTTGGTGTTCCCAGCCTCCTCCTTCCTCCCATCCTCCCTGATACCTGGCCCCTCTCTGTAGGAGTCCTGTCAGTCCCTGCAGTACCTCTAAATCTCTGCTCCCCACACTTCCTCTCCCCACACTTGTCCAGTGCAGACACGTTCCTGGGGGGTCTGAACCCACCCCCTCCAAGCTCAGTTTAAAGTCTTCCGGACGAAGCTCGCTAGAGCATCTCCAAACGACCTTTTCCCCATCCTCGTGAGGTGTAACCCGTCCCTTGCCAGAAGTCCATTGGCAAGAAACCGAGTGCCGTGGTCACCCTTTGATCAGCTGTGAATCTCCCAGTCATCAGCTTTAGGGGATGACCCCTGTGAGTTCTAATATTACGGAGAGGCAGAAAAATGCCTTCTCCTATTAATTAGTCAGTGGAGGGAGAACCGTTCCAGGCATGTCGAAGAACATTTTGCCTCCCCAAAATGCAGTAAGGCCACAATCCAGTAACCATCTGAACTCAGAGGCTAAAACACATCCAGTACAGAGGGGGGAAGGAGCTGGGGAACTGACAGGAATCCGTGTAAGTTGTTGGGATGACCCGAGCCTCCACTGGCAGGCTTCTTGTATTTTATTTACTTATTATATTTCTGTCCTGCCCCTTTTCCTTCCAAAGAGCTCGAGGTGTCTTACATCATTCCCCTCCTCCTCTCCACCTTATCCTCGCAACCACCAGCCTGTGCGGTAGGTTGGACTGAGCTCCACCACAGAACCAAAGCTCAGAGCAAACATCTGGCAAATGACGTTGACATTTTCATCTGTGTTGTCAAGGAGAAACAGCATCCTTCCATATAGCCCGAAGTGCCAGATTCTGTAATCTTGGAAGCTTAGCAGGGTTGGGCCTGGCTGAAGTCTGGATGGGTGACTTGAATGTTCTGGACCACCCAAAGAGCCTGGGCTACAAGCAATACAGAAATGCAATAACAACAATGTAAGGCAGCTTGGCTCGTTATGAAACCAGTTTTTATTTATTCATTTTAAAACATTCCTATCCCGTCCTATACCAAGGATCTCAATACGGCAAAACAATAAGCAACACAAATAAATCTAGAAATACAGTAAAAGTCAATCATTAAATTAACATTAAGCCTTAAAATACAGGGAAAATAAAAAGGGTTTGGCCTGGCACCAAAATGAAGATAACGTTGGTGCTAAGCACATCTCTCTGGGGAGCAAGTTCCAAAGTTGGGGCACCACCACAGAAAAGGCCGTTCTCCAGGTGGCGACTCTTCTGATCTCCTTCAAAGAGGGCTCCCAAAGGAGGACCTCAGATGAAGATCTTAAGGGTTGGGCGAGTGCAGACGGAAGGAGAGACATTTCTTAGGGTCCGTTCACATTTTCCCTTCCCACTTGGTTGCTCTCCACTCAATGACTCACAGTCAAACTTCAGAATGAATGCAGTGGAAAAATGCTCTTGACACGCCACGTCACGAAACAAGTTACTGTCTGCAGCATTCAGTCAGTTGTTGTCGACTCCTGCAAGTCGCCTCTTGCATGAGCAGCAGTCCAATGATGAAAGATGGATGAATCACCCTAAAACAATACAGTTGAAAAGGGGTCCTGGAGACCAGCCAGGCCAAACGTCTGGAGGTGAAGGAAAACTACAGTGCCTTGCAGAAACAGTCACACGCCCCCGTTGACTTGCCCACATTTTGCTCTGTTAGGACCTAGCACCGAAATGGATGAATTGGCATTGTTACCGCTTGATTGCATGCGAGGCACTTGGCCCAGAAAACACAACCTGTTTTTGCTGGGGCACAATCTAAGTAAACGGAAGTGAGCTGGCACTTGCAGGCTGTGCCGGTATTCCTCCCCTTCGCTGTGACATGCCCGGCTTCTCATCTTGCAGCTCCAAAAAATGCCCGTCCGATCACGGTGCCCGTTTGCAGCCGTCTGTCCGAAGGGCCGTCTGCTGGAGGCAGCCTTGCTCTCCTCCAGCCTTGGGCAGCCCTGCTGCGTCCCCTCCACACACAGCCAGCCAGCAGCTGCCTGTGCTTTACGCCAATTCCTAGTTAATGCTGGGAGCCCGCAGGATCTTCCTTGCCCAAACTCGCTTCTTCGGGCAGATCGTCCACACGGGGCATCAGTCCGGTCTCAGAAGAGCACCGGGACGCCTTTGGGACACCCTCCCTGCTGGAGAATCCAAACTGGGACACAGCAGCCGTGTCCACCACCTTCTTCATTCTGGCAGAGCTGCAAAGGCTCCACACGACAGCCTTGTCTTGGACCACCCAGTCATTTTGGCCCCTGCAACTGCTCCCCCACCATTTCCCGAATCACAGGGATGCAGAAGCATCCCTTGTACCCAGACGCAAGAGCTCTGCGACACCAGAAAGTCTACTCCGGGACGAGTGCTCGTGAATTTAACCTGCTTCATCAGATGGCGTGTCACGGCTTCTGGGAGGGTTGGGCAGCAGTGAGGTCCAAAGGGAATTAAATACAGAAAATACTAAATGATGCTCAAATGGTTCGCAGTGATCATTTATACACCCTGGATAAAACCACTGGTCCGGATGGAGGCGCAGGATTCCTTTTTGATGGGATTGCATTCTCCCTGCAGGAAAAGTATGCAGCTTGGGTAGGGGGGTGTTACGTAGACCTGATGCGATTTATGGAGGTGCCAGTGGCATCCGGTGCCAGCATCGCCTTTTATCAGCTTCAGCTGATTGGCCAGTTGCATCCCGTTTGGAGAAACCAGACTCGAGTGTCCTTAACACACCTGGACTTGACTCTTGACTACTGCAATGAACTTTCCTTGGGGCTGCCTCGGAAGACTGTAGGGAAGCTTCCCCGGTGCAAAATGCAGCCACCCACTGCTGTGGCATGGGACAGGGAATCATCAGAACATGTGGGTCATAACTTGAGATCTCAGTTAGCACCATCATATGTATGTTGACCCAGGAAATAAGCCAAATGCCTGTGATTTTGCATTCTGCACACACCGTCCCAGCAGGAGTATGTTTGCTTGTTTGTTTAAACAATGTTTTCACTTTCAAAGTTGTAAAAATCTTTATTAACAAGAATCATGTCAACAAGTTCCACCAAGCTCGTCACCATTTATTCAAGAAACATGACTCCGCAGCTCTAAATTTAAGTTTTATTCTAGCATAGACAATAATCCCCTCCCACTCTTTAATATATGGAGTGCTAAGGCCTCAACCTTGAACTCTCTTACCTAGGACTGAACTGAGTGGGAATTTCCTCTGAACAGACACGTATAGGACTCCAGAGCAAGATCGCTACCCTATCTGGCCCTACACTCATGCCCTTAGCAGCACCGTGACACAGACAAAAATATACAAAGCTTTTCCAACCACTTTTCTCCCTGCCGTCCATGAAAGTTTGTAAGAAATTAACAGTCAAGTTCTAAAGCACCAAACGTCCGAGCAGCTATTGCTGGGGTCATCAGCAGAAAAGGGATCTTGCTTGCAGACCTCCCTGGAAACCTCGCTGGCCAAATCAGGTTGGCTTAACGTAAAATAGGATGCGGAACGGCACAGTCTTTTGGTCCAACCATCCAGAGTTCTCATGTCCTTGTGTCCAAATATCAATTAAAACACAGTATTTTATACCGAGCAGGAGTCTTACAGGCCTACAGTATTACAAAAAGATATGAAGCAAAAGTAAAGGAGTAAGGTAGGGAGAGAGAGGGGGGATGGGGGAAAAGGAAAGAGAATGGGGGAAAGATGAAAAAGGGGAAAGATGAATGAGAAATCAGAGAAAAGGGAGAGAAGAAGGGGAGCGTTTTGTGTAATGTTGCAAATGTGGAAGCCTGAATTATGTTACAGAACAAAAAGATCTTGATCAGTGCTACAAGCCAGCTTAATAAGCCAAGATAGCTCATTAGCCACTTTGTACACACTGGCTCAGTTTACAGAATTATCTTCACTGGATGCAGCTTGTTTGACAGTCGAGCCTCCCAGCACCCCTAGAGCAGTGGTGGCGAACCTATGGCACCTGTGCCGCAGCGGGCACACAGAGCCCTCTCCGCCGGCACCCCAGCAGCCGAGCATCAGATAACAGCGCACATAGGGGCCATGCGCAAGCTCGGAAAGGAGTAGCGGCACCAGGCGGTGATGTCGTGAGCCGCGACTCATAAGCCATGACTAGTCTCAGCTTTCGCATGGCCGGTCAGTGCGCAGCCAAGAATACCTATGTATATTTGCTTGGAATGGCTGTGAATTTTTTTTTTTTTCCTAAACTAAAGCCCCAGTATTCAGGTTTTATTGCAGTGTTGGCATTTTATGATAAATAAGTGGGTTCTGGGTTGCTGTTTGGGCACTCGGTCTCTAAAAGGTTCGCCATCACTGCCCTAGAGTATACACTGAGTTAGAGTCATTGCTGAGATGCATCTTACGTTGACTGAAGCCAGCTGCTCCAACCAACCACGGATGAATTAATCACAAAGAACTCACCAGTCACAGCCCAGTAACTTTGTGCATCCTCTTCAACCATTCAACCACCGATAATGAATTGCTGACCAAGGAAAATTGAAAATCCCCCACTACTGATTTCTAAACTATCCTGAAATGCTTTTGCGGTAGAGAAAGGTTCGCAGGTCTTTCAAGATCTCCTTTCTCACCCTCATGTGCAGAGCTCCACGTTGCTTTCTCTATACAAGCAGTACAGGGCTCGCACCCCAGGCCCGATTAGTGATGAGGATACGGGCCTGGTGGGCCAGCAAAAAGAATTGCTGAAGAGCAGTTTGTGCTGGTTCAGAAATCAGCTCAGCATCACAAGACGCTGCTCCCACGAACGCCAACTGCACCCCGCCACATGGGCCCCGTTTTCAGCCTGGGGGTCCCACTGATCTAGATGGGCATGATGGACTTTTGCCAGTTCCCATCAGATTAATGGGAAAAGTTAAAAGAGCATCTCTGGCTATTTCAGGAGGAACGTTTGTCCTACTGGATCCTGCCCAATTCCTACTCAAGTGCAGAAGCTGAGGCAGATGACATTTTCTTGGGAGGCCAAATGATAGACTCAGTTTGCATGCTGCAATAAGCATGACTGTTTATGTAAATTTGATTTGCACAAAACTGGCATATGTAGGCAAGTTAAGAAATCACGGTGGCTTATTGAACCATCCCTGTGCCATGCAAACTAGCCAACACCAGGCACCCAGAAAGTTGCCTGTCTCTCCTCTACTTAAATGCTTGCTGCAAAGGGCAGCTCATCGGCTCCCAAAAGCTTTCCCACAGGTGACCACTTTCTCCCAATGTTTGGGCTAATCCACTTTCCTGACCGGAAAAGAGATCTGCTCCAGCTTCTTCAGAACAACCCTTCAAATAGTTGAAAACTTGATCTTGAGCTTCCTTTTACTTTTCTCCTCTCACCTTCCCAGCTGTCCTTTGGGTCCCAACAGATGAGCACACACCTTGGGCCATTCACTGAATCCTGGAGTAGCAGAGTTGGAAGGGGCTACAAAGGCCATTGGGTCCACCCCCCTGCTGTTGCAGGGCACCAGTTCACACCATCCCTCTCAGATGGTGGTCCAGTTTCCCCTTGAACGTCTCCAGTGTGGGAGAGTCCCCCACCTCTCCAGGCAGCTGCTTCCACGGTCATATTGCTCTGACAGTGAGGAAGCTTTTCCTGCAGTCTAGCCTGAATCTGGGGCTTGTTGCAGCTTCAGCTGATTCTTCCATGTCCTACACTCTAGGATCAGAAAGAAGAGATCTTGACCTTCCTCTTTGTGACAGCCTTTGAGGTACTTCTAGAGGGATATTATGTCCCTCCCTCAGGGCTGAACATGCCCAGTTCTCTCAGGCTCTCCTCACAGGAGTGTTTCCAAACCCAGGATAATTTTTGTTGCCCTCCTCTGGACTCTTGCTCACTAGTGCCAGAAGTAGGTTGGCTGCTGCACACAGCGCCTGGGATGTGTACTGGCAAGGCCACTCCTCCGCACCACGGCCACAGTGGGGGAGGACGAATGCCGCTGTGAGCATGGGTGGCAGGCGCCGTCTGTGGCAGCCAATTTCTTCCCACCTGCTGCTGCCTGGGGCAACATGGAACTCAGTTCCTGGCAAGCGTCCTGCGAACACCAGGCGCGCTCTGCAGGAACTCGGACTCAGGGCTGCAAGCAAAGTAGGCCGGAGTCTGAGGAGCCAAGTTCACAAAATCCAATGGATTCCCACCCGCAAGCAGATCCCTCACACTCTCTTCTCTATTACGTCTTCCTCCTGACAGAGGATTCCTGTTGCAGCACCGCTACATCCACTTAGAAATCCAAAGCCTATTTTCGGCTTATTTCAAAACACTTACTGTGGCCACGGAAGATCAGGCATGACACCAAGCTAAAGTAGCTCCTCCAAAATTCAGAACAAGACAGATAGGATGGGGGCGAAATTTGAAGCCAAACACAGGGCAGGCTTTGGAACCCCTGTAAACTACTGGCTGTTAAAATCTTGGGCTTCGGAGGGCTTAAATGCAAGGACCCTGTCTCAGCGTGAGCACGATGAGGAACTCTGGGGCGTCTGTGAACATTTCAACTGCTCAAAACCCTGCCAGCGCGCAAGATCGGAGGGCAAACGGGGCCATGGGTGCCTGGTAGGGTTGTCCGTGGTTAAAATCCTGCTTGGTCCTGTGCCTTTAACAGAGGGGCTTGATCTGCAGAAGCAAGCAGCCAAAGGTCCGTGTGAGGTGGAGGGAGACGTCTTCAGCTTCTCACTGCTGCAAATCAAGCTGCTGCAAGAGAGACAGTGGTTGGTTTAGAAGGCAGAAGGGCAAAGCTTTTGGGAGAGCAACGAGCAAGCTGCGCCCCCGACGCTGTTGCGAGAAGTGTGCAAGCTCATCTGCAAGCGGCACAGGTAAGAAAGAAGCGGAGGAAGCGATGGAGGCAGGGAACTGCAGCATGCATGCAGGCCTCCGCACGCTCCTGTTCCTGGTCTTCTGCAACTACTCCCTCTCTTCACGAGACTATCTTGTGTGAGCTCTCTGGTGCCTGACTAGCTGATCCCACTGGTCAAAGCTCCAACCGCACTCAGAACATCCATAGGAAGGATAGAAGCCGTGCGTTTTCAGGTGGACCCTCAGGGAATCTTTCCGAAAGAAATCTTTCCCACACTCGGCGCAATGAAACGGCTTCACTCCCGTATGGATGATTCGATGCCTCATCAGCTTACTCTTCCAAGAAAAGCACCTGCCACATTCGCAGCACTGGTACGGCTTCCCCCCAGTGTGGGAATTCAGGTGGTCAGCCAGGTTCCGTTTGACCCTGAAGCATTTCCCACACTCAGAACATGTGTAAGGTGCCTTCTTTTTAGCCCTGGCCGCCTGACAGTTACTGAGCTCAGACTGGCAAATATCCACCTCCTCACCTTTGAAATACGCAAACTTTTCCAGTCTTGCCCGCACTTCTGCTTCCTTTTTGCCTAGGTTGTCCTTTCTTTCCGTGACGGGTCCATCGTGGTCTTGAACAGAGCCCTCAGACCCTTCTGGGTCCTTCTTCCCTTCCTGCTGCTTGTTGTAGCCCCATCGCTCGCTCAGGGCTGCCACCACAGAGGCGTCCCCGTTGGTTGCGGCTGGTAACCCATCGCCTCTCTTCCCCTGTGGAGGATTTGCCTCTGTCTGCACATCTGGAGTCTTATTACCTACAAAGAGAAAGAATGGAGACCTGAAACCACTCCATGTAAAGGGAGGAGGAGCAAAGAAGAAAGGAGCTTGCCAATGAAGCTATGGGAATATTATTTTTATTATTATTATTATTATTAATCCTCCCCCTCCTCCTCCTGCCCTGCAAGGAATTCAAGGTGGCTTATGGAATCCTCCACTTCCTCCACCTGTGAGACAGGATGGACCAAGGGTCAATGATGGCCCAAGGTCACCCAGTGACCAGTCATGGCCAAATGGGGACTAGAACCTGGATCGTCCCTCTAACTAGTCCAACAGTCTCTCGCAGGGCCTTTTTCCAGACAGACCTGCTTCTTTGGTACTCCCTCCTCTTGGGAGGCGCAGCAAGCTCTCTCCTGCTTTGGGAGGACAGCAAACTTCTCATTGATTACATTCAAACAACAACATTGACATTTGGAATATTTAGAAACTACTTAAAAGGTTTTGCAGGCATCAAATCAACCAAACACCGTTTTGCTTATTTTGAAGCTCAGGGTTTCCTATTTTGTTTCTACTGGCCTGCTAGTCAGTAGCTTTTAGGCAACTGCTTTTTAGTTTTTACATTTCAATTGCAAATTTATTAAGATTGGTTTTAATTTAATCAGTGGCCTTACACTATATCTCTACCTTACTCACACGTGGAAAAGAGTTAAAGCTTCTGTACCTGGTTCAATAGTCTGGCTTCTGAAACTGTGCTGTGGAGTCGGGGAAACTTGTTCCTTTCTGTATCCTGAGAGGGTTAGGTGGGCTTGGTTTCTGAAGCAAGTTCCTAGGCCTTCTAGGAAAGAAACGAACACCAGGGAACACTCCAGGCTTCCCACCGTTTTTCGGTAGCTGCCAAGAGAAGGAGATCTACAGAAGCCTTCCCCAGCCCGGCTTCCCCCGGATGTCTCAAGTACCATGCTTACCTCTCCACTTTTCCTGCTGGGACGCTTTTCGGGTGTTGAAGTCCCTCTTGAATTGGTGCAGCCTCTTGTGCCTGGAAAGATTCGAACTCCAGTTGAATGTCTGTCCACATTCGAGGCATTTATAAGGCTTTTCTCCAGTGTGTATTTTCATATGCATAAGGAGGGTTGATAATTTATAGGTTTTATGTCCACATTTGGAGCACGTGTGCTTTCTCTCAATTTGATTGTTCTTTTTTCTTCTCACAAGCTTCTTCCCATTGATGAGGCCGCCACTGGATGTCGTGTGGACTTTCAGGTGGATGCGGAGGTAAGATTTCTGAGAAAAGCCCTTCTTGCATTCGGGGCATTTGTAGGGCCTCTCTCCTGTGTGGGTTCTCTGGTGCCTCACCAAATCGGACAGATAGAAGGTCCTGTGTCCGCAGTCGGGACATTCGTGTTTTCTCTCCCGGCGATTAAATTTGTTTGCCTTCACCGCTGCGGCATTCCTCGGAAACCGAGCAGGCCTCGTGTTCCCTTCCGTCTCCCCTTTAGACGTGGCACTGCCCACAGAAGCCTCAAAGTCCAGAGAAGCAGCAGCTGAGAGCTCGCCCGACAGCGGCCCCCGCCTGCCTTCCAGTTTAGTCCCTCCCCGCTGAGGATTCTTCGCCAGGATGTTAATTAACTCCTCCTCATCTGTAAGGGAGACAGAGACGGTTGAGATACAAGACTGCTGTCCAGGAGGAGGAGAGAAGAGACTGCCCGTATCCCAAAACCTTGGCCCTGCAATTTCATTAAGCCACCTCCACCCACCTTCAGGTTTATCTTTGAAATAGACCAGGGGCTCCAACCTTTCTTGGGCCGGTGGGCATCCTGTTTGTTGCCACATGCATCTCCGACTTATGGAGACCCCGTGAATGAATGCCTCCCAAAATGTCCCATTTCTGACAGCCCTCTTCCACCCTTGTAAATTCAAGGCTGTAGCCTCCTTTGTAGAGTCAATCCGTTTTTTAAAGTAGGGGAGCAGATCGCAGTTACGCTACCTGTGTTTGGGTGCATGGGATCCACTCGGGTTGTGCTTTCCCTCCTGGCCTCTTCTCCCTCTTTGGTCTCTCCCCCTCCCCATAACCCTCCCTCCCCTTTCTGGTTCTTCCACCCTCCACTTTTGTTCATGCTCCTTTCTTTGGCTAAGCATTAACTGCAGATTAATTAAGCGTTGTTTAGCGTGTGATGAACCAACGGACAGGGTTCAGACAACACAATAACCTACTTTCGAGGCCTGAATATGGGTCGAGCGTGGATTGTCATGAAATGTGCGTAAGCAGGTTATCCAAACCCCACTGCTTTAACCATGGTTTCCTAACACGGCTGGGGTCAGAGAGCGTGATAACCTACATCGCAACCCCAGTCCTCATTCATCTCTGGAGTGTGGGGAGTATCTTGTTCAGGACTCCTCCAACTTTTTCGATAGGGGGCCAGTTGAAAGGCAGAGGTGACCTGGCGTGGGCCGTTGGCGGGGGGGCCTGGGCGCGCAGGCCGGTGAGGTGGCATCGGGCACGCACCATGGCAGATGGCTCCCTCGGAGATCTCCCAACAGGTCCAAAACCATCTCCGAGTGAGCAAGCCGCTGCCACCTCCCGCCCACATGGCGAGGCAGTGGCACACATGGGCCAGCGAAATGGGCATGGCGGGCCGGATCTGTCCTGCGGGCCGCAGTTTGAGGACCCATGATCTTGCTGCCTGAACCCAGCCATTGGGTCTGGATTCGCATATAACAAAACACCATCCACCTGGCCCTGCTGGAAGCTGCCTATTCAAAATGGCAGTGGCATGGAAGAAGCCATGGGTTGATCAGTCCATGATTCGCTGCCATTAGGCACGAACCAGGTCGCTGCTTTCCTTTCGAAAGCCCCCAAATCTGTGCAGGATAGAAGATGCACCGTTTCCCCCTCCTTTCAAGCAAATAGGGACGCTTACGCCGACTCGGAGGGAAGCATATGGAAAGAAAAGCAAACGATCAGTTAAAGGCCCTCAACGTTCCCATGTTTCGCAAGGTTTTAAAAATGTAACCCACTATGGAATACAGATTTGTAAAGAAGTGTAACGATACATTTGCATCCATTTCCTTGCTGCAACCCACACGAACACCTTGCGAAATAGGTGGTTGCTGTCTCCGCTGTGCAGAGAGGGGAGACAGAGACGAACAGTGTCCCACCTAAGCCTTCAAGCCTAACGATATTCTTTCTCCTTTATAGGTCAAAGCCACAAAATTCTGAGGACAGAATTCTGCTGTCTCAGCAAGCGTTGTGCGTGTTGATGGCAGCCGTTCTGGGGAAATACAGAATTGCAGGGCTGGAAGGGGCCAGAAATGTCCCCGAGGCCAACCCTTTGGGCAATGCAGAAAATCCCCTACAACTTCCGCTCCGGCAGGCAGCCGTCCTTAACAACTTCTGACAAAGGGCAGCCCAGGGCACAGCACTGCCATCGTCCGCGTACCTTGCTACTACAAGCCACCTTGTTCCGCAGGTGGGCAAGACCCCAAGTGGGCAGCAGGCCTTTGGAGGGTTTTTTTTTTTTAAGTCTCTCTACTGCCCATGATTAGAGATTTAATTAAAACCGCCAAGAGATTTTACTGCACTTAGTGGCATATCAATACAATAAATAAATGGCCACTGTGACAGAAGAGATCTCAGCAATTTGGCTTGAAAACAAGGGGGAAAGAGGACGCATGCCTTGTTCCCCAGCAAAAACCCTCAGGGAGCGCCATTCTGCTCTTGAGCAAAGCACATGCTCCTTGCGAGTCTGGTTTTGCACCCAGAACACCACTCCTCTGCCCCTGCGGCAGCAGATTCAGCATCAGGGTCCCCGGTGGCTTCTGCACAAGTGTGGCTGCCCCACCCCTGGAAGTTACTCACGTCCACCTCACAGTGTGAAATCCTTGGCCCTTTGTGCGGTCCCTATTCGGACCAACAGCACCTTCTGCTTTCGGCTCTTTTAACTTGCCATACTGAGCAGTGAATCTGGGACCACCAGGATACGAAGCCGCCTGCTCCGCACCTGCACTACCTTCTTCCTCTAACGTTCTCCTGTATTTTAACACACCTAACTACTCCCAGGCATTGTTAGCAGGGTTCTAGGATACAGGGATAGTCACCTCTGAGGCCTAGACACCTTTACGCTCCTAAAGGCGAGAATACTTGCCCAGGCATGGCCGTCCCACCCCCACTTCCTAAGGCAGCTCCATGGCAGCTTTTCTCCAGGAGTGGTGTCAGATGCCAGAAGAGGACGGGAAGCAAGAGGGTGGGGTGTGCCAGAGGGCGGAAGAGGAGGACGTGAGGCTTTAGGGTCCCTGGAGGAACCCAAAGCCTCCTTCCAGGCCTGAACTCCCAGTGGCTCAACTCCGCTCTGCAGGCTCGGAGGCTCACTTATCAGAAATTGCTCAAGGAGAGAGCAGAAAGTTAAAGTTTCCACCTTTGTTCCTTTCGCCCTGCTGGCAGATTCCCAGCAGTTCACAGGATCTTTGGAAGCCCCTGGGTGGGGACACTTCCTCCAAGCACGCAGCAATCTCCTTTGGACTGCAGATGAAGAAAAAGAGAAGAACCACGATTCATTTGGCTCGCCATCAAAATGTACCCACCACTGAGGATGACGTCACATTCGGCAACCGACGGACTGGGAACCTCTGAAGTCTCGAGGGCGGGAGCTTGTTGGTAGGACAGGTGGACTTGCCGGTGTTTCAAAAGATTTGACCACCACCGGAAGGCTTTCCCACAGTCGGGACATTCAAAAGTTTTTTCTCCGATATGAGTTTTTGTATGTATAACGATTTCTGATAAGCTTTCAGCATGATATCCACATTCTGAGCAGGCGTGTTTTTTCTGGAAGTCTGTGGGTTCCTTCTCAGTCGTTATCTGCGGTGGTTGGGAGCTGTCCTGCACTGTTCCTTGATGACCCCATGATTCGGGCTCATTCTCACAAGGCTCTTGCTTCAGTGAGATGCTCTGTGAGGATGCTTCTGTGGTCGACACACAGATGTCTTCCAATTTGATTATTTTCTGCAGATAATCCTTCATTTCTGGCAGTTCTGTATCTGGAGAACAAGGAAATCATTCAAATATGTGGTAATCAACGCCAGTCTTTCAGGAATAGAAAGCCTCCAAAAGGCGAAACCACTAGATAGCTTACGAAAGTCTCATCCTGCCTACAGCTACACTAGACAATATCTTGGCTCTTGCAATTTTTATGTACCTTAAAATTCAGTTTTAAATTTTGCATGGTAACTTTTTAAGATGCTTTTAATGTTCTTTGTAATTTTATGTGCTGCAAACCTCCAGCTATTGGCCAGCATAGAAAACAAACAATCCTGCAACTTTTATTTATTAGATTTACATCCTACTTTTTCTTACAAACTCAGAGCAGCTTACGTCATTTTCCTCCAGCAATCAATCTTATCCCCACAACAATAACCCTGCGAGGTAGGTTAGACTGAGTCAGCGACTGGCCCAAAGTCACCCAGGTGGCTCCATGGCTGAGCGGGGACTCGAACCCGGATTGCCTGAGTCCCAGACCTGCACCCTTAACCACTACACCACACTGTCTCTCTCTTCTCACACTGGCAACTTTTTAGGTTGTCTTCAAACAATAAGGACCTGAAACATTTTTAAAAGGTCTTTATTTCCATGAAATCACCAGTAGACGAAACTGCAGCCCTAACCCTAACCGCATTGAGCCCTCAGGCGATTTGATCCGTTTCAGACTTCTGACAGGAAGTCTGTCATGGCAGGAGGGGTGGAAACAGGTGTCACAGGACGAAAGATCCTTCCGGCTCAGGCCGTACCCCCTGCCAGCAGGCAGGCCTGACAGAGCACCCTTGTGAGAAGGACACTCTATGTGCCTGTCAGTGAACTCTGCACAAGGCCCAGCAGAAGGCCAACTACAGTGGCACCTCGGCTCACGAACTTAATCCGTTCCAGGACTCCGGTCGCCACCCAAATTGGCCGCGAACCAAGTCAAATTCCCCCATAAGGCTCAATGTAAATAAGGTTAATCCGTTTTGTAAATACAGTGGTACCTCAGCTCACGAACGCCTCAGTTCACGACCAAATTGGGTCGCAAAGAGAAATGTCCGAAAAAGTCTGCCTCAGCTCGCAAACTCCGCATCAGGTGGCGATCGCGCTTTCGCCTGCCTTCCCTCCAGCGCGCCCGCTTCAAATTTTTGTGATTAAAAAAAATTCTTACAGAACGGATTAACCTTATTTACATTGAACCTAATGGGGAAATTTGACTTGGCTCACAACCAATCCGGGTCACGACCAGCGTCCTGGAACGGATTAAGTTTGTGAGCCGAGGTACCACTGTATTTTTTTTATGACAAAAATTTGAAACAAAGGAACAAAGAACAACAAAGTTACAGAGTACAGTACAGTAGAGAATACTAACCTAGGTGGGGGGTAGGTTATTGCTTGGAGGGAGAGTCCAAACCATAATCGTGTGATAGCGATTGTGCTGGGGGGTAGACAGGTGCAATCGCCCTCGACACCCAATGCGGAGTTCGTGACCCAAGTCAAATTTTTTTCCTAAGTTTCTGTTTGCGACCCGATTTGGTTGTGAACTGGGGTGTTCGTGAGCCGAGGTATGTGACATCGTCCCCTCCACAGAAGTAAATGGAAACCTTGCTTACGCGCACAAAAAGCCAGGGAATGAAACACCTAGAAAACGTTTTGCTGTTTGCATCGCCTCGAGTGTCAAACTGCGTCTATTCCACGTTTGCGTGATAATGCATCCGAAAGGTGGTTCCCAATGTTTTCTCACACCCCAGTCATGTGAAGACATGTAACTGAGGATTGGGACCTGCGCGTGGAGAAGGCACGGTGGCCACACACATCCGTTCCTCCAATCTGAACCTTCTGGGACCAAGACAGACAGAACGGGCTACAAGGTGGAAAAGAAGGGATCACACGACGAGGAGAAACCTCTCCGTTCACGGAGGGAACATTTGGCTGCCTCCCATCTGCGAACACAAGTGTCCCCCTGGGGGAGGGGGAAGCGGGAGGGGAGGAGCAGAAAAGACGGGAAAACAGGCCCGGCACCCAGAGCACTGTCTGTCTAACACACACCTTGCTAGGAAGCAAATCCTCCTCATCATCATCACATTTGGAATTTAGATTTATCATTTAACAAATGACAGAGAAAAGAATACAAAGAGTGATAGTGGGAAGAATTACTTAGGGTTCCACTCTATCATGGGGAGAAAACAGAGCTGGTCTTATTGTCTTATTGGCCATCCACGCCATATACCATGTTTCCCCGAAAATAAGACCAGATCTTATATTAATCTTTGCTCCAAAAGATGCATTAGGCTTATTTTCAGGTGATGCCTTATTTTTTCTCAAGAAAGTCATAAGATTCTTGCCCGGAGAGTCCTCCGTGATTCCTTTCTTGTATTCGACGGAATAGCTCTTTCTGTTTGCACACATCCTGTCTGGGGGTCAAAATATAATTCCCTTTAAATCTAACATTAAATCAGGTGTTAATTGAAGACTTGAGACAGGAGTGGCAACGCACAAGTGCATTAAGTACGTCCGTTACAACACACGACGTACTGAATCATGAAACACGTCCATTCGTTCTCAAATGCGCACGTTATTTGTGCTTTGTCTGTACTCCAGTTGGTCATTCGGCAATAAATTTCGAGTCCATCTGTTTACATAGGCATTTACCTCTCGTCCAAAGGCGTCCGCTACGGTATTTACAAATACTTAATTATGATTTACATTATCATTTATTTTAAGCGTTAATGTCAATAATATTGTTTATATTTAAATATATGTTATTATTTTATAATTCAGTATGTCCGTCGTGTGTTGCAATGGACGTACTAAATGTGTCCATCTGGCCGACGATCTTAACTGGGGCTTATTTTGGGGGTAGGGCTTATATTACGAGCATCCTGAATAATCATGCTAGGGCTTATTTTCCGGTTAAGTCTTATTTTCAGGGAAATACGGTAGGATGGGAGCAGGGGAGAGAAGCAGGAAAATCAGGAGGGGCAGTGAGAAGGGGGAAATGCTGCACCATATGAGCACACCTACCTCCATCCGCCTGCTGAGATTCCTCGGTGGAGCCATCAGGGGAAGCGGAATTAGTTGAGCAGATATTACTTTTCCGGTGCCGGGAAAGGTTTGAGATCCAGCGGTAGGCCTTCCCGCAGTCAGGGCATGTGTAGGGCCTTTCTCCTGTATGGGTCCTCGTGTGTCGAATGACTTCTGAGAGCCAATCCGATTTGAATCCACACTCGGGGCAAGCGTGGTGGTCATTTTTCTTCGGGCTTCCCAGCTTGGTCAGCACCACTCGAAGAGATTTGATCCCAGGCACGCCCAGCCCTTGCGAGCTCCTCGGGCGCAGTCTGGAAACGGGGCGCGGCGGTGAGCTCTCCCCAGTCGGTGAAGCAACGCCTGGACCCTCAGGTTTCAGCTGCAAAGTATTGTCGCCGATCTTCCCTGTCTCCTCGGCAGCAGCTGCAATGGTGGAGACAAAATACAGGAATGTGAATTTTCCCTCAGGGGAAGTGATAAAAGCAGCATCACGTGGCATCCAGGCAAAGGATGGACTGCACTTCGAGGCCACTCTGGGTGGCTTTAAAAGATGGTTCGACTCATTCACGGCAGCTAAGACTAGCGACAGCTGCTGGGTCTGCTGGCTACAGGCTAGGACCATGTGCATGAGTTACCAGGGAATTCGGCCAGGCCCTGTGTGAAGAGACCGCTGGGCTAAACAGGCCTTTGATCCAAGCCGGCCGCTCCCTTCTGAGGTTCTAAGTGCCAGCAAGGAAGTCTTGGGCTCCAGGGGCACATCTTTGCCCAAGGACTGGCAGCTTGGTGTGTCCACTGGTACCCCTCCCCGAAAGGGGCATAGGAAAATCAAGAGCCCCGCTAGATACAACAAGGCCCACTCGCCTGTTTCCCGCTGAGGCCAACCAGTCACTCTTCCAGAAGACTGACAAGCTGAGCCAGAGGGCAACGGCGGCCCAAACCCCCTTCCCTTTTTGCCCCACAGCAAGAGGTATTCAGAGGTGAACTACCGCTGAAACTGAGGTCCTTCTTAGCCACTGCGGCTAGTACTAGCCCATGTCAGTTTTCTCCTCTCCTCTGTCAATTTCTAATACCCTCGACGGCCATCTACATTAGTGACTAGATTACGTTATGTTATTCCCAAAGTCGCATCCGACCCATCACGACCCCATGGACAACATTCCCCCAGGCCCTCCTGTCCTCCGCCATCCCCCGGAGTCCACTCAAGCTCACACCAACTGCTTCAGGGACTCCATCCAGCCACCTCATCCTCTGCCATCCCCTCCTCCTTTTGCCACCTACTGTTCCCAGCATTAAGCTCTCCTCCAGGGAGTCCTTCCTTCTCATTAGGTGGCCAAAGTATTTGGGTTTCATTCGTGAATTCCAAATCTGCTGGGTAACAATAGTTACTTCCCTTTGTCTGACCTGCCTCTACTGCCCATCCATTTTGACCCCAACTGCTTATTATTATTATTATTATTATTATTATTATTATTAGAATATTTCTATGCCGCCCCTTGCCAAAGCCTCGGGGCGGCTTACAACACAATAAAATACAATACAATACAATACAAAATAACGATATAAAATTAAAATTAATAATATAAAATAAGTAAAAAAATATAAACGATATAAAAGAAGTTAGAAAAGTTATAAAAGAAAAGAAAAGAAGTCGCCCTGGCAGCAAAAGTAAGAAATATCACAGCAAAGTAAGAAAATTCATTTCACCCCACTTTTCCAACATGGCATACCACTTTATAAATGTGTTATCACATTTTTCCCACAATCCTCCAAAGCAGGTCTGCAGAATTTGCATCCTTTCAGGTGTTCTCCAATCATCCCTTCATGGCTGGTAGGCCCCTCTTGGCCTACCATCCCCTCTGGGCTGGGGCATCCAACGACTCTCAAAGGCCACATGTGTTCTACTAAAGTTTGGAGGAGGAATTTAGAGCAAACTGCCTTCCTGACCAGCAGAGAAACCAGCCTTGTAGGGAAGGCACGAAGTTTGGAAAGGTTGGACCAGAAGATCCTTGTCCCCAAAACTCCGAAAGACTAGAAAGTAACAAAATACAAAGCAAAGAACAAAGCAGGTCTGTACTGCTGGTTATGGACCTTTGCTTAGGGGAACACTTTAGTATTATAATTACAGCCTGCCCTTTTCTCCTCACAAGCACCCTGCGAGGTAGGCCAGGCTCTCAATGAGTGGCACAGTCACCCACCAAGCTTGAACTCTAAAAAGAGATTAGAACCTGGCTCTCCCTGTCCAATATTCTAACTATTAAACCATACTGACACTTAGTTGTTTTATCACATGCTGGTATTTTTTTATGGAGACTGCTTTTACCTATCTCATGTAGTATATTAGCTTGGGATTTTTTTAAAAGAAACATGACTAAGAAATTCAAATCATCATCATCATCATTCAGAGCTATCAAACATTTCCTTCCCCACTAGAAGGAAAGTTTTATGTTGTATGTGCATTGCTGTCTGTTATTTCTGATTCTTATATCCTGCATATTTCAATATTGCATCTGTTTTTGCTTTGAAAGCTGCCCAAGGAACATCAGTCAATGGACTACCATGTAAATGTAATACATAAATAAATACATTCTGGGATTCAGCTACATTGTGATCGGCACAGCTAAGCTATGAAAACGAAAGAAAAGAAAACACGGTCTACCTCCGAGCCTTTGCGGATGTACCGCAACTTTTTTTGCATGTCTGTGGAGCCCTTGGTGCCTAGAAAGATTCGACTGCCACCTGAAGGTTCTGCCACATTCAGGGCATACATAGGGCTTCTCCACCATGTGGTCTTTCATATGCTCAGCAAGGGAGTGGTTAGAAGATTTGCACAGTCCGCAGGTGGGGCATATGAACCCTTGCTTCAGCTGACTGCACGAGCGTGTCACCTTGTAGCTGCGGGAATCACCCAGGGGCTGGTGGATTCTCTGGTGTGTCTCAAACGTTGATTTTCCTTTGTACGTTTTCCCACATTCAGGGCACTGGAACACCTCTTTTTTCGAGTGGGTTTTCATGTGTCTCAGCAGATCGGACAAGTAATAGGCTTTATGTCCACATTCAGAACAAATGTGCTTTTTCTCTGGTGGATAATTTCTGCCTTTCTTTTTCACGGTTTTTCGCCGACGCCGCGTGGATTTCTCTGGCTGCTGGCCTTGCGGTTTCCCTGGGCACAATTTTTTTCCAGGACTGACCTCGTCAGTTTCAAGACTCAAGGAAGTGTCATCTGTTAATTCGACTGAGGATGCCACAAATGTGTCTTCTGCTTCTGCAACCGCTTGCTGAGAAGGCTCAATTTTGATCTTGTTGAGATTCCCACCACCTGGTGAAAGGATGAAAAAATACACGGCATTGAGCCTGTGCTGAGACAGTCCCAGGCCGCTGCCTCGGAAAGTATAGGCCTCGCTTAGCATAAGGGAAATGCTACACTCTGGTCCCCTTACTTAGCTTAATTTATTTATTATCTCCTGACCCTGAGAACACGCAGCTGTCCTGTTTTGAGAGAATGCACCTTACTGAATCTACTAGTGAGTTTATGCCTCGTTGCACGCTTAATTAGCTTATGCTATTATATCCTATTGTTTTGGCACACGAAGCAGGGATAAAACTCTCAAGTTGCGAGAATCTTGGCTGGATAAAGTGGGAAACCTCCACTGTTATGTCTTGAAACTGTTAATGTTATTGGATTTTATCTGGCCAGGGCGGCTTATTTTACACTGTATGTTTGTATTTTTAATTTAATATTTATATTTTTAATTTAGATTATGATTATTTTGACTTAGTGTTGTGAGCCACCCCGAGGCTTCGGCGAATGGGGCGGCATAAAAATGTTTTAATTAATTAATTAATTAAAAACAGGATGGGGAACTTCATGGGCTACGGAGGCCAATGACGGAAAGCTGCCAATGGCACACACTGAGGCTTGCAAGCGAGTAAAACAAGCAGCTTCCCCACTGCTTAGTCACCGCACTGGTGAAACAGCCAGCCCCTTTCCCACAGTCTACACAACCCGGCCAGTTTCCTTCGTGCCTCGTCTGAACGCCAACATCCTCGAGAGAGCTTCGCTGACCATCTGCTCCGCCTGCCTGGAGCCTGCCGGGCAGCCGAGGCCAAGCGGAGCGTCGTACATGCCTTCCTGTTCATCCTTTCGAAATACTAGCAAGTAATTTGCCCGTGGCAGCAATAAAGTATCCTAGTAAGTAAACCTGGACCTAGCAGGGGGGTTTCCTTGGGATTACGCAACCTTTTGGCCCACAGCTGGGGCGACACATACACAAGCACTTCCAGTATGAACATCTGGACAGACATGCTTGGTCAGCGAACAGGCGGCTGGAAAGAGATCTCGGATGCTTCTTCAAGATACTCACTGGGCAGGTTTGAACAATTCCTGAGGGTTGAACAAGCTGCCATGGCCTGTTTATCCTCAGTGTGACTGGGGGCAATTTGACTTATTAGCAGCCAAAGTACAGCTTGATCTGTTATTCAAATCCAGGCTGCAAAACTTGTTGGGGGAGGGCGGGGGGGGGGGACTCAGAAATAAGCTACTGGCTTTTTCTGGAGGGGGAACAGCCCTCAACTAAGTAAGCCGTGCTGCCTGGATTTGGACAATACGAGTCACATATGGACTGGTAATTAGGCAAACTGGCCCTACAAGAACCAGCAGACAATTATACAAGCCACAGTTGCTTGTTGAACCCTCAGTAATTGTGCAAACCAGGTCACTAAGCTACTGCCCCTCAGCCTCAGTGGCCTGGTTCACACGTAACGATTACCCATGATATGCGTTTCTTGACTTCTAAGTTGTCAAGATGTGTCAATGCAACTGTGCTAACAACTCAGGGTTTGTTAATTGAGACAACTCCCCCCCCCCACAAAAAAAAAAAAAGATAACCCTTGGTTTGCTGTTAGGTTGTAAACTCTGGGTTTAAATAATGCATTGCCATTCCATATTTTGACTTGTTATGCTTGGCTTCAGAGGCAACAGGTGAGAGCAGTCAAAATACCCAGCTGTTCTACCTACCAGTAACACAGCATTACAAAGGTATTTGGGATACGAGAGAAAGTAGGCAGAGCAGGAGGAAAAGAAACACCATCCGGGGAAACTGCTGGTGCGAAGGGGTGAAGATTCTGAGGATGACGAGGAGATGGCTTGTCCAACGGTCCATCCTCAAAGTGAGTCTCGAGGTCTTGGGACCCCCCTGAAGTTGCTGCAGGGGGAGACTGGATTCAAGGCCATGGCGACCACCACCACAAGTCTTCCACGGGAGAGTCGAAGAGTTGCTGACTCCAGGGCAGGATGTGGAAATGGAGGCAGCCTCAGAGCATCGTGAGCCGGGCAAAGTGTCTGGGTACCACACACAGGGCAGGATGCTGAAACGGCCAGCGCGGCCAACAGGGAGCCCCCGATCCTCAATCCGCTGGCTCAGCATCAACACTGGCGCAAAGCCCAGTCGGATGCAGGGGGGTACATGCTTTCGTAGCACTCCTCCTCTTGGGGTGACACACAGGAGGAAGCTTTAGGCAATGACAGCGTCCAACTTCTGTACTTGGTGTGTGCCCAGAAGCTTGTACAACTATTAATCGATTAGACAAGAAAGCTTCAACTGGTGTGTCAGCTGTTACCAGAAGGAGACGAGCAGCACAGGAGATGACACTTCCCCAGCTACCTGCTCGCAGGAGGCGGGGATGTTCACCCGGGCAGACCACTGTGGACAAGGGATTTTGCCCCCACTCCACGCTGCCCATGAACACCATGCACAGCTCGACTGTGAAGTGCCTGGAAGGATGCCACAAGGGACGCCGCACTCCTGACAAGGACAGAGGGCCTCTGGGGGTGTGCACAGATGCACTCTGCCCCCTGCTAAGTAACCTGGTATTTCAGGCTGAAGATGGCGGCAGGGTTTATGTAGGACCATGATACAGGAACTCAACGGAGCAGGATGTTAGCAAATCTGGGCGTCCTCACAACCTGGAATGGCTAATGCATGCACACGCGCACACACATTTTCACACGCTTACCCAAGAAGTGGTCGGGGACTGCCTCTCCATGTTCAGGTCTCGGGGCAAAAACGGCTTCTTGTTGACCAGGCTGAGTGTCCATCTCAGGTGTGGGAATCAGAAGCCCTTCTTGGATAGGGGGCAGTGGGGAGAGAAACAGGGAATCAGAAGAGTGGGGACTTTACTGACCCATCCACTCTGAAATCATAGGCAAGCCTTCCCACCCTAATGGATAGCGCTTCAGAGAGTACGAGGAGGAAGAGAAGGTGGCACCCCAAGACAAGGCAGAAGTGGGTCTCTGGTTACCCTGAGCTGGGTTAGATACTAAGGGTGGGCTCAAAGGTCTAAATGGAACCTCCATAGGCAGGGGGAGTATACCTCAGAAAACCAGGCACACGGGACAAAAGGCATTCCTCCCACAGGTATGTTTCTGGAGGCTGACCCTTCCCCAAGGCTCAGGGAGGCTTACCTACAGCGCTGCCGCTGCTGCTGCCACTGTTCTCCCGCATGACTTCCCAGTGCAGAGGTGTCTGGCTGAGGTCCAGCGCATCCTTCACACCCACAGGCTCCTGAACAAGGGAAGCATGCAGTGTCCAGAGCTCGAACCGGCCTTGAGGCACAGACGAGCTCATGGAGGTCTTCCAAACCACAGGTTGGAACCCGCCAGCACAGCTGGACCGAAAGACTGCCCGCTCCTTGCGCTAGTGACCTGTCCAGCTCATGTTCTTCCAGGCGTTTTGACCAACAACTCCCATCAGCCCTAACTAGAGTGGCCGCCAGGGAGGTTTCCTGGGAGGCGCAGGTCAAAACATCTGGAGCACCACAAAGGGCCCCTCGCTCCATGAGCGGCACTGCATTAGCTTTTTTCAAGACAGCCCTGCCCCTCGAAACGGCACTGCGGCTTCATCTTCAGCCAGTGAACCACGATCAGGGCTCTACGTACCTCTGGCGGTGCAACCCCAGCCGCTTCCTGACCCTCAGGAGGAAACACCAAGCCAGGGTTCCTCGCGGGTGCTGCTTCGCTGGCTGCGAGACACAGGAAAGGGAAGAGTTCCAAAAAGAAGGCTGAGTGGTTTGCCCAACATTTCATGCCCCACCACGGCCTCCAAATCACACAACACGAACATCTACAGATCAGCTAATATTGGTGTCTTGCCATGAGAGTCACACATCCTACTAGCGGCTTCAGGTTGATCATGACGGCAACAAAACGCTGGGCGAGACTGGATTTGGCCTGATTCAGCAGAGCTCTCATTCTTTCAGAGAAGTTTCATATGGAATCCATTTGTCTTATTGAGGATGGTTTTTATCCTGCTTTTTGGCTGAGGTTTAAGTGACACGTTTATTCGGTCTCCAGCCCTCCTGATGTGGTAGAAGCAAGTCCCAATTCCCAGCCAGCGTGGCCTGGTTGCAAGCGCTCCATAAATGCGCTCGCATATTCCGTCACGCACGCGCACCCAGGTGCGATTCCCAGGTGCGCATGAGAGATGGAGGGCTCTGGTGGGAACAGCCGCTTATCAGAAGGGGAGTTAATATTTGCCCCAGTAGAACCTCAGAGTTCTCTGAGATTGGAGTCGTTGAGACGAACGACAGACCACGTGGCGAACCAACCCCAAGGGGGCCGGGCTGAGACGGCGGAGGATCAGAGCCCTTCAAGGACAAACACGGAGCCCCCTATTATTCTTGATTGTGGGAAAGAAGCCGATAGGGAACAAGCTGGTGAGAGTTCTGTGGGAGTCTGGGATGCTCGATCGTGCAGGTGCCCTCGCTGGCTGGGGCAACTGGAGACATGATTAGAGGAGCAGTGACAAGCACGCGTCCAGAGACCGGCCCCGAAGGGCCCATAAGCAAAGTGTGGGGTGACGTCAGTCAGAGCGAGAGGTCAACTTTCTCCCTCGCGTGTACTTTCGGTGTTTGTGAATACTTTGCAGCTGTTTGGAATAAAGACTCTTTAAGCGCTGGCTAGAGTGATTGCCTTCGTTGGGAAGGGGCGCCTGGCTCACAACATTCCCCCACCGTGGGGGAAAAAGGGTACCAAAATAACCCACATGGAGAGGTTTCCAGGACAGCAATCCTTCTGCCTCTTACTTATCCTTTCCAGTGCCCGATACGATCCTCCTGGAAAATAAAAGCCGCTCGTAGCTCCTTACCCATCAAGCCCGCTTCCCGATCGCCATTTCGACTGACTCCTGCGCAGTGCTGTCGCTGAGGCCTCTCTGCATCCAGGGAACTGGCAGTCGGCACCTGAAAAGAGCCACAGAGACCCAAGTTCGGAAAGGTAAGATCTGCCGATTTTAGCCTGCGGTGTTCCATTTACTTCCTGGTTTCTTTCTGGTCGCAGTTTAAACCTGCTTCTCTCTCCCTCCCTCGCCTGTGAAGCTGCCTCACCCATCCCAATGCAGACACAAGGCCACTTAACTGGAGCTGCAAGTTTTAAATAAAGCACTCAAAGTCTAGAGTGCTGGACAGTGTTTATCACTAGAGTTGATTTTTCTCAGTGCTATTTGGAGTTTCAAAATGTACAGCTGTTGCAGCAACTGAAAAGTAGCGACAGAGTCTCTCTTTCCAACAAGGAATGCTGAGTTTTGTTTAACAAGTAACACATCTCTCCGACTTCCCTGAATGCTTGCAAAGGGAACACCCACTGCGGTATTATATGCATTATCTTTTTGGCATCTAGACAAAAGTTGGCCTGTACACTCAAGGCCTTGATAGCAAGCCCATGTTATAGTTTTAACTGCTGTTTATCACCACTGCTCTTGAGTATATGGGATTTTAGACTATACTGTTTTGATGTGGCCTGAATATGTGTATTTAAGCTCCCAATGGCTTGGGGCCAGGAAATCTGAGGGAATGTCTATTTCCATATGTACTACTTGTACCATGAGGTGGTCACCCCCCCCCCCCGCAAACACGTAAAAGGGGAGATGACAAGAAGGCCCCTTTCCCTAGTAGCACCCCAACTGTGAAACTCACTTCCACCTGAGATCCGGTTGGCGTCATCTCTCTGTTCTTTCAGACAACAATTAAGAGCATTTCTCTTTCACAACCGTTTTGGCAGGCGAGACACTCAGTTTTAATAGTTTTTATGTTACTTTGCTGCTGCCACGTTTTGATTTTAGAGAGAGTTTTTAGTTCATTAATTACATATAATTTTATCTTACTAAGGTTGTCTTATATGGTTTAATATACTATATGTTCAATTTTATGTCCCCCACCTCATTTCATTTTATCTTATCAGCTTGCTTATTTTTACTTATTATTGGTTCTGATACTTTATCATATAGAGTCATTAAATGTGTTGTGAATTGTATCGCTTTTATTCTTGCACAGAATGCCGTAACCAGTCCAGAGAGGCTTATGGCTTACGGGGACAGCATACAAGTCAAACAAAATATTTCTGCATTGTTTTCAAAGCTGCTTTGGAAGTCCACTCTTGTTGAGAAGGGTAGGAAACACACTTTAAATAAATAAATACAGCCCAGCAGCCATAGCCCATCGTTGCAGAACCTCGGACAAGGAAGCAACATCCAGCTCCAATATGGATCTCCAGGGTGCTAGACGGCATCGCCACCTTTCCCCTGGCCACCAGCTCCAATATCCTGCTTGGTTTTGGTGCTAGAGGAAGAAGGAAAGTCCTCTTCACACAGAAGCATCAAGGAAAGAGGGAACACGGTAGACCCAGGTTAAGGCCAGGCTACCGAGGAGGGCAGCGTATCAGCGTCTTCTGCACATGCCCAGGCCAGCCTCAGTCAGGTGTAAGGCAGGAGGGGATGATTCCAAAAACTATTCCTATTCTGGCTCCATCAATTCTGGGGTTAAACAAACAGAGATTAAAATTGTGGATGTCCATAAGGACAAGTATTTTAAGACAGGGGAAACCTGGGCAGGTGCCAGTGACTTTACCGTCTGCGTGCACATGAGCATGATAAAGAGAAGGAAGAACGTGACCTCTATAGCAGTTGTTTTCAACCTTTCTACAACTGGGACCGGCGAAAACAGGAAAACCGCCTTGGGGGCTGCCAGGGCAGAAACCAAGAGCACCATACACATAATACGGTGTGCTGTCTATTAGTTTCCAAACATAATACCAAAGAAAAATTGAAAATTCTCCAAAACAACCAGAAACTGAGCAACAAAAAATGCCAACAAAAGAACAAAATACCGAAATTGGTGCAGCATGCCCCCCCAAGCTGTCTCTCACCTCCCTGCCCCCCCCCAGCAGCACCGGTATACCCCCTGCAAACGCAATGCCAGCCAAGGAAGAGGTGGTGGAGCACAGCTAGCCCCCGCACCCATCTGCAGTAAATGGGAGGTGCCCCCCCCCACGGACCGGCAGCAAATCTGCCAGTCCGCAGTTGAAAACCACTGCTCTTAGGATGCATCAGAAACTGTATGAAGAATACGATTTCTTTAAGCAGTGCTGCCCCATCTCAAAGGAGAACACTTTCTTAAATATGTCTAAGAGATGGTTCTTCATTTCAAGAGTAGGCCACTTGTGGCCCTCCAGAAATTGTGGCCCCCCGTTCCCGTGGGCCCTTTTCGGCACAGCTAATGGAGGGTATGAGGGGAATTCTCTAGGACCATCCCTTCTCATAAAGAGGCCTCCAGTCTCTCTTCCATCTGCCACTCAGCGGAGCTCTCCGGGGTTGCCCAGTGCCTACTACATGGTGGCCCCAAGGACACCCAGGAGCCGTCTGAGACCTGCTGCGACATATTTGCTCGGAACTTCCAGGCAAAATCTCCTGTATCTGCCGGGACTTATGCGCCAATGTTACTGCAGCAAAATCAGGCGAGATATCCAGAGCACAGCCTGGTCACTTTTTTTTTTTTTTTTTGGATGAGTTCCAGTTAACACAGCTCAAGGATACGGACAAGGTGCTTGGTGTTGTGAGGCCGCAACTCACGTCTCCAATTAACTCACACAGCAGTCGGCGATACAACTAAAGGCTTTTATTGCTATTTGCTACAAGATTTATGATGCAACAGATAAGCTCTGGCGATGAGCTCCTCTCAGCTCAGTTGGCCCCTCCTTTCTGAACTCTGATTTGAAGATCACATGGACCTCAATCTCCTCTCACGTCTTTCTGTCCATGGGTGGGACAAACTCCCCCCCTGCCGTCCCAATTGGTCTAACCACTGCAATCTTCTCTGGAGTTGGGCGTTCCATAAATTTCCTGTTATGTCTTCCTGTTCTCCAGAACTCTGCCCAGCAGCTTCAGAGTCAGGAGGCGGGAGGGGGGGGCAGCTTGTTCAAACACCCCAGAGTCTAGAGGAAGGGAAACTGCACCCCGCTCAAACAACTCAGAGTGAGGGTGTGAGGAGGCTACTCGCTCGGAAGCCTCAGAGTCGGGCTGCAGAGGGGCCACCTGGGCCCTGGGCACCAAGTATAAATCCCCTTGTTCCAATGCCCGACCCTCACTGTGAGCTTCTGCCCTCCCTCGCATGCCAGCGCCTCTGTCGAGCTGTAAGGCACAACACTTGCTTGGCTGAGAAAAGCTAGCAGGCGGCAACTCCAGCTGGGCCAAGGAGGGGATTAATGCCTCTTTATGAGGAAGAGTGGTTCCAGGCCACCTGAAACAAGCGGTGCCGAGAGCACTACGGGAGAAACCTTTTCTGGACCCAGGAGAACTCAGCAAGTTTAGGCCAGTGGCAAACATCCCTTTCCAGGGCAAGGTTCTTGAGCAGGTGGTGGTCAACCAGGTCCAGGCACTCTTGGATGAGACTGCATGTCCGGATCCATTTCAGTCGGGGTTCAGGCATGGTTCTGGAACAGAAACAGACTGCTGGTCCAGTGGGATGTTACCATCCATGCTTGAAGGCACCTGAACTGGGGCAGCTCAGGACTTCACGGACCCCAGGACAACCATGGGACTGTCCCAGCATGTTCTCGGCCCAGTACATGTACCAGGGCACGCTCCAGATTTGGTCTTTTTCAGCCGGGCATGGGGATAGCGACCTGATTGGGGAGAGCTCTGAAGTGGCCCCTTTGCCATCACCCGTTCACCGATTGGCGAGATTCGGAGCAGGGGTGACTTCTCCCCTCGGCAGTCCACTGGTGGACTTCCTCTCTGCTCGGCTCACTTTGCACAACCAGGCCGTGTACGGGAGGAAGGTCACAGGATCCGGAGGGATGGATTCCAAAGGGGTTCGTCCAACCCGGCCATCAACAAGGGTGTCCTTCTGGGGCACCTGCCTGTGTCGGGAGTGGGGGACACTGCCATGCACTAGCTCCACCCCTGCTGGGCGGGCAGGATCCAGAAGCTGGTGCTTGCGGGGTGTTTTTGCGCCCCGAGGATTCTCCAATATGGGGTTCTTCAGGGGCAGCCTCATCCCCCATGCTATTTAACTTCTCTGTGAGAAAACTGAGTGATGTCGCCCGGAGTTCTCTCACTGGCATGCGGAGGACATGCAGCTCGATTTCTCCTCTTCATTTTCAACAGGCGGTGCTTGGCTGAGACCAGGGGATGGACGAGGGCCAACAAGCATAAGCTCAGTCTAGGTAAGACTGAGGTGCTCTTAGCAGGTGGTGCTTCTGCCCAGATGGAGGGGAGCCAACCTGTTCTAGATGGGGCTGCGCTCCCCTGGAAGGAGCAGCTTCCTAGCTTGAGGTGCTCCTTGGGCCTTCTTTGTCAGAGCGCCTTCCACTAGCTGCAACGGAGACAGCTGGCTCTCTGTAATTTATGTTCTGGTAATCAATCAATCAATCAATCAATTTATTAAAAGCTTTTGTATGTCGTCCTATTATACAAGATCTCAGGACGGCTTACAATATTTAAAAAGACAATTAAAACAACAATTTCAATAAATAATAAAACAGAACAAAACAATAAATCACAAAACAAACGGAGCGACTGAACTTAAAAGCTGTTACATTTTAAAATACTGTTTAAATAAAAAGGTTTTGGTCTGGCGCCGAAAAGAGTATAAACTTGGCGCCAGGCGTACCTCTCTGGGGAGTACATTCCAGAGTCTGGGTGCCACAGCAGAGAAGGCCCTACTCCGAGTTGATGACCTTTTAACCTCTCTTAGAGAGGGTTCCCGGAGCAGGGCTTCTCCCATAGATCTTAAGGGGTGTGAGGGCACATAAGGAAGGAGACGTTCCTTCAGGTATTCTGGGTCAGTATCCTGCTTCAGAAATGTCTGAACTAGATTACTGCAATGCACTCTACATGGGACTGCCCTTGAAGTCTGTTCAGAAGCTGCAGCAGCCAGCTTGCCTGCAGCCACCACCTCCGGAGGAGGCTTGGTTGGTGGCCTTTTCAGTGGTGGCCCCCACAAGTTATGGGACGAGCTCCCCACTGAGACCCACTTGGAGCCAACCTTACTAGCTTTTTGGCACAAAGTTAAAACTGTTCTCTGTGACTAGTTTACTGGGGCTTTGTTAGTTGCTTAATCACGTTCCAAGGTTTTTCTTGTTTAAGTTACTGGAATTTTAAGTGCCTTTTAAATTTGGACTGCAACTTTTAAAAATGATGTGTTATAATATAGTGTATTTTAGATTGTATTATAATAGCTTGTTGTGAAGCACCCAGAAAGGCTCAGCTACTGGGTGGCAAAGAAGTTAAACAGACAAATGGATAATGGGAGTTGTGCAGCAGGTTGGAGGGCCACCAGTTGCCCTCCTGAGCTTTCATGGGAGTTTGATCTGAAGCAGCGGTGCCATCAAGGCAGGACTTTGGGGCGGAGGCTCAGACCCCCAACTCGACCAAATAAATGCTGGGGGCAGGGGGAAACTGCAGCAGCACTGGCATAACACGGTTTAAGATAAGCGAAGTGATACACAGGACCAACTAAAGACGGGGTGGCCCCCAATAAGACCATTAAGTCTGGATTCTAAAATTGCCAAGCAACCTGCTTTACAACCGCCATCTGTAGCTAATGACCAGCACTCACAAAAATCTTTACCAGTAGATTTCAGCCTACAGGACTTCTGATAAAGGTGCAGGAGAAGATTGGGTTGTTTTCTCCCCGGCAAGCTACCAGCCCTCAATCTGACAGGTGGAGACAATCATGGAGACAATCGGTGAGGGTGCACAAGGATAGGCTGGACATGCACATGGTGGGCATGTCATGAGTGGAGCTGGCTGGAGCCGGGGGTCAGACTAGATGGCCCAGGAGACCCCTTCTGACTCGCTCTGTTTCTAAGTTTCTAATTCAGTATTAACTAGCAATATCTTACCTGCCAGTCCCATGCCTTGGCTGCATGACGGCGACGGCCACTCATCAGGAAATCCTCTGCCAACGCGACCGTCTCGATGCAGTCCTCCGGCCCACATTCCTGCACCCAGCTCTGCACCTCCGGCGGCAACAGGGCCAGGAGCTGCTCTTGGATGATCAGCTCCAGGATCTGCTCCTTGGTGTGTTTCTCCGGTTTCAGCCACTGCCGGCACAGCTCCTGGAGCGTGACGTAAGCCCGACGTGGCCCCTCCAGCTCCTGGTAACAGCACTGCCGGAAGTGCTTGCGTCGCGCCTCCGCCCTGATGGCATCCGCTCGCAGGATGGCTGCTTTCACCTTCAAGTAGTCCCCCCTGTCCCTGGGATCCAGCCTGCAAAAGAGCTGCTCCACTCCACCCCTCAGCGCAGGCAGGAGCCGCCCCACCCACTCTTCGCGGGGCCACCGGCAGGCTTCGGCGACTTGCTCGAAGGCAGCCAGGAATCCCTTCGCGTCATCCCAGGGCACCGTATCCGCCATGGGTGGGTTCCCCCATCCCACATGAGCAGGCTGCAGCGTCTTCAGGAATTCTTGCCACTGGGCTTCCCACTGCTGGGGCAGCCCCATGTCTGTCTGTTGGCTGAACTGCCTTGGCAGCCCTTTGAAGTACATCACCTGGACGATGCGTGGGACTTTTCCAGGGCTCTCTAAGCTCTTCTCCATGTCTACGTCTTGCTTCTAGAATTGGAGGCTATGTGCACAACAGAAACCTATCTTTCTCCAGGCTCTGACCCTGAGGATAAGTTAAATTAGTAACAGGATGCTCCTACGGTATTTTGAATGCTACTTTCAGAAGCTCCAGCTTATTTTTTAAAAAGCCCCCCTGCAAAGGGGAGATAGTAAAAGATGCAGAGTTTTCTGAAAGATAGGAAAGAAGGAAAAGGACATGTTAAGAGTGGAAACAGACCGCTGGGGAAAATGCTTAAAAAATAAGTCCGATTCCTACCGCAATGTACATGACCCAAAGAAGCACCTTGCCCCTTTCCCTTAAAAGCATTCACCTGCTTTGTACATAACGAGAAGCCAGAGCATGGGCTGCATCATGAGTTAATGTACCATAGGTTGTCATAACAAGCAAACTCTGCATGATGGTTTAACTGTGGGTTGTTAGTCACAAACAGCAACAGTTCACAACTTGCTAACAAACCATGGGTTGTCTTCCTGGGTTGTTCATAGTTCATAATCCACAGTTAAACCACACAGTAGGGTTCACATGTAACAACAGCCCACAGAATTCAACAATCCATGATTCAACCCATATTCTAGGTTCTTGTTACATGCCAAAACAGGCCAATCTGAGAGGGAGAAATTTTCACACACAAATGGAAAGCCTCCACTCTCCTCACAAGCCAGGGCGCTCCAAGGGCAAAAAGCAACTTGCAAATAAGCCATGCTTGTAATGGAAAGCCCGCAGGGATTCCCTGTTCCCAGGGGCCAACTAGGCCAAATCCCGCCTAGAAATTCCCTGACCCCTCAGTGCCCAGACCAGAGGCTGGTTTTAGCACACTCTCACCCAGGCATGGGGAATAAAACAAGCTTATTAAAAGGATAAAACACAGGGGGAGAGGGAGATAAAACGCTAGGGTTAAAACAGATAAAACAGGGCAAAAATGGGCACATGATGGGGAAGTTGGGAAGCAGCGGTTTTACAGATCAGAGCCAACCAAGCACCCCACAATCCCGGGGTCTTGCTGTGCCACTGCAACCCGAGAACAACCAAGCGAAACCACCTCTAGTCCAGACACAGAATATCTACCTTCCGCAGGGCTGTAGCACACAGGGCATCACAGGGAGTCTTCAGCAGGTACAGCAGGTTAGGACCCCTGAAGAGGAACAAAGGGCTTCTCAGCTCCCCGGCCTTTACCCCAACCCCATGGCAGACCAGCTGACCCATGGGGAGAGGGCCCACCTCCCAATCCTTTGACGCCACCCTAATGCTCCAGCTGCTGGTAGTTGGTATTTAGTTCTGCCATCTCCAGCGCCCTCAAGTCCATAACCACATTCAGCTGATAACCAAAAGGAGTGTATCACAAGGGGGGTAAATCACTTGGGGAGAGGCGGGAGGCACCCCACTCGCCCGGCCATGGCCCAGTCCCTCTCCTCCCCTTGGCCTGCGGAAAGCAGGCCTCTCCCGGCCGGGAGAGCCACCCCGCACCCGCTTCTCCGTCCTCCTGGAGCCGGGTGAGCACCTGCAAGGGGCCCTCCCTCCGGCTCGGAAGTGGGGTGCCCTCATGGCTCTCCCTCATGTCGTGCTCTCCCTCTGGGTGGGTGGTGCAGCACCATCTTGGGCTTCTGCTGCAGCCCAAGTGAGCGGAGCAAACGCTTCTTAATTTAAAAAAATATAACACAGGTTTAAAAAAAAGAGAGAAACTCACTGAATGTTCACTAAGTCCTGCAACCCCCTGGGGGTTGGAGGCACTGCTCTGCAGTGGTTCCGCTCCTATCTCGACGGTCGATTCCAGAAGGTAGTGCTGGGGGACCATGTCTCTACGTCATGGCAGCTATGCCATGGAGCACCACAGGGCTCCATTCTATCCCCTCTGCTATTTAACATCTATATGAAACCGCTGGGAGAGGTCATCAGGAGGTGTGGGCTGCGGAATCATCAATACGCTGATGATACCCAGCTTTACCTCTCGTTTTCCACTAATCCAGGTGAGGCAGTGGCTGTGCTGAACTGGTGCTTGGCTGAGGTAAGGGAATGGATGAGGGCAAATAAACTGAAACTCAACCCAGACAAGACGGAGGTCCTGTTGGTTGGCGGATCGGGTTTCGGAGAGGGTGGATTTGACCTGGTCCTGAATGGTGCAACACTCCCTCTTAGGGATAAGGTCCGCAGCTTAGGAGTACTCCTCGACCTGGAGCTTTCTTTGGAAGCTCAGGTGACAGCAGTGGCGAGGAGCGCCTTCCTTCAGCTTCGGCTGATTAATCAGCTGCGCCCCTACCTGGAGTACGACTGCCTGGCGACGGTGACACACGTGCTGGTGACTTCCCGCCTAGACTTCTGTAACGCGCTTTACGTGGGGCTTCCCCTGAAGACAGTCCGAACACTTCAATTGGTGCAAAATAGAGCTGCCAGGTTGCTGACGGGGACGGGGCGTTATGCTCACATGACTCCAGTCCTCCGTCAGCTTCACTGGCTTCCCATTGAAGCCCGGGCCCAATTCAAGGTGTTGATTATGACCTATAAAGCCCTAAATGGCTTGGGTCCTGGCTACCTGAACAAGCGCTTATGTCCATATATGCCCGACCGCCCTTTGAAATCTGCGGGAGAGTCCCTTCTCCGGGAACCCTCCATGAAAGAAATTAGGAGAGTAAGTACTCGGAGGAGGGCTTTCTCTGCGGTGGCACCCAACCTATGGAATTCACTCCCCAAAGAGGTCCGCCTGGCACCGTCGTTACTGGTTTTTCGGCGCCAGGTAAAGACCTTTTTATTTAAACATCATTTTAATTGTTAAAACATATGATCTGGCCAGGGCAACTTCTTCTTCCTTCTCTTTCTCCTCCTATATTTTTATTTACTTAATTTATACTGATAATTTTAATCTTATATTTGTAAATCAATGTATTTTTTGTATTTAATGGTAATTTATTATGTGCTATTGTATTTCAATGTATTTTATCGTGTTGTAAGCCGCCCCGAGGTTTCGGCAAGGGGCAGCATAGAAATGTTATAATCATCATCATCTTTACAAACTATGCAAAGACATAATTTGTAGAGATGGACCTGGGTTGCAGGACCTAGTGGATATTCAGTGAGTTTCTCTCTTTTTTTTAAACCTGTGTTATATTTTTTAAAATAAAAATCATAATTTTTAGCGGATTCAGAAGTTGCTCCCCTCCATCTCTCCTCCTCATTTTTGCTCATGAAAAATAAATAGTGATGCAAATTTTGATGCAGGATGCCACACGTCAAGTATTTCTATGTCCAACCCCCCAACAGTCTGAGGGACAGTGAACTGGCCCCCTCTTTAAAAGTCTGAGTGCTCTTGGTCTAGACTAGGGGTCCTCAAACTTTTTGAGCAGGGGGCCAGTTGAAAGGTGCTGGCGGGGGGTGCAGGCCGGATGGGGGGGCGTACGTAGCAAGGCACAAGCAGGCGGGCGCAGAGATCATTTTCTCCGAGCGAGTCCAAAACGATCTCCTTGTGAGCAAGCTGGCGCCTTTCCAAGTGCATGGGTGTGTGTGTGCACGCGGCAAGTCCAAAACCTCTGGTGGGCAGAATAAATGGGCATGGTGGGCTGGATCCGGCCTGCGGGGTGTAGTTTGAGGACCCATGGACTAGACAAATGCCAGTTCATTCTACAAGATGCTTTGCCAGTACCTAAAAGGCAGAACTTTGAAAGATTAGGAAGCTACAACTTGCTTTATTTAATTGCTATAATTAAACTGTAATTTAGGATTATTTACACTTGGGTAGCTTGCCTTACAAGTTCTATATGGTCATTGTAGGGCCCAGGAACCAGATCACCTGAATAAATAGGTCATCCCTAAAAAAGATAAAAATAAACCTCAAACCCTACAGGTTCAGACACTAGGACTGGGAAGGAAATGATGCACTTAAGCTTGCTTTGTAAGTGAACAGAAAATAAGCTAATGTGCGTTGCCTAATATTTGACATAAGGATATCCACTTTTTGAGCATCCTGATTTCCCACATCCAGTTTTATTCTTCCCCTTCACAGAAGAGTTGAAGTCAGTCACAAAATGGCAGTCAAGTCATGTGACCCAGTCAGCAGCTTACCAAATGACTTTTTAAATTGTGGTTTGAATACCGTCCTTGGGAGGAAAGCTATGGCAAATCTGGACAGCATACTAAAAAGCAGAGACATCACCCCGCCAACAAAAGTTCATACAGTCAAAGCTATGGTTTTCCCAGTTGCAATGTATGGCTGTGAGAGTCAGACCATAAGGAAGGCTGAGTGCCAAAGAATGTATGCTTTTGAATTGCTGTGTTGGAGAAGACCCTTGAGAGTCTCTTGGACTGCAAAGAGATCAAACCAGTCATTCTTACAGGAAATCAACCCTGACTCCTGTATAGAAGGTCAAATACTGAAGCTGAAGCTTGAATACTTTGGTCACCTAATGAGAAGGAAGGACTCCCTGGAGAAGAGCCTAATGCTGGGAACAATAGATGGCAAAAGAAGAAGGGATGGCAGAGAATGAGGTGGCTGGATGGAGTCACTGAAGCAGTCGGCGTGAGCTTAAGTGGACTCCGGGGGAAGGTGGATGACAGAAGGGCCTGGAGGAATGTTGTCCATTGCAAAGAGTCTGACTTTGCAAGTGAACAACAATACTGCCCTAGCATCATAAAATACAGGACTGGGGTATAAAAATTGTTCCTTCTACTCCACTGTGATGGCTTGCCTACAGACTAAGACAGGGGTGGTGAGCAACATTTTCTGTCAAAAGGCAGAAAAAAAAGGTTGCCCATCACCCCTGCAGATGGTCTCTGGGGTCATCCATTGGGGAACACATGTCAGTGGTGGGAGGACCAGATGCAAGAGTGAGCAGTTGCCCCTTTCCCTGGTATCCCTTTTTCTTTCTCTCTGGCTCTTTTTCCAAGCTGCAGGGGAAGAGGCAGATTCGCCAAATGTTTTGACCCATCGCTCACAAAGGATTTCTGAAATCGTCATTTGCCAGTTCTCCCGCATGTTTCCTCCGAAATGACTTGAGCCTCATTCATTTCAACGGGTGTAATCTAGGTAAGGTTACAAATACAAACCAACACAGTTCAACTTGGAGCAAGGCGATACTGCAGTCATATTAAGACCACGCCATTGGGAACACCTTCTGTTCTCTGCATAGCAATTCAAGTTTACATTCGCGAAATAACAGCACACATTTCACCGTATTCTCCCCCACCACGCAAATTTCTATACCCTTTTCCCCAAAAGAGAAATGGGAAGGGAGAGAACAAAGCTTATAATCCGAGAAAAATCAAACCCCTTTTAAGACTTGATTTTAAAGTGAGCCATTTAAGCTTACCCTTACCGACTTCTTCCTTAAAAACTAGGAGTTTAAAGAAAATTTGCATTTTGCTGGGATCGCGCCCATTCTTTCCCTCCTTCCCTCCCGCGCTTCAAAATGGCTGGAGATTTTTCCATGGGAGCGGGCGGGGAGGCTGGCTTGAGATAGCCTTCGTTAACGCAAAGCGCAGGACGAGAAAAGGAAATATGCCCCCCAGGAGCGGGGATAGGAAGCCTACAGCAACCAGATTTAATTCGCCGATTTCTGCGCAACCCCCGCCGTTTACAAGCCCGCCTAAAACAACCTCGAGAAAATCTTACAGTTGCTCCAAGGTTAGGAAACTTCCGCGCAGGGCGGCAGCTTGCAAATCCGCCTTCCCGGGAAAACCCGCTTTGCGTCTAGCCGGCACGCATTATAAGCCCGGCCTCCGCTTTTTTGCAATTTCAGATCCTGGAAATGTTTTCTTAAACCTACGTCCACCCGCACGCCGGCCTTTCTCTTTCGCCTCTCCCTTCCTTCGCCCTGAGCATGCTGGGAAATGAAGTTCCTCACGAGCATGCTACGGAAAGCCCCGAGGAGCAAGCCCGCCCCAAGCGAGGGAAGTTCGAATAGGCGAAGCTTTCTTTGCGGTTGCGGTTTGCAGCTGCTAAGTGGTGTCAGCAATTTGAGGACGAGTCTAATATTTTACTTCGTGGAAGAATGGTGCAACCAGGTCTGCAATATAGTGTACAGAGTTCCTAAAAATAAAGAAGGATATTGTAGAGTTGGAGAAAGTGCAGAAAAGGGCAACGAAAAATGATCAAAGGGACCCTGCAATGCTTCTGCTTCTAAAACACTAAGATACTTTCCCTTAGAAGAAAGGCGAGGAAAAGGAAATATGATAGAGGTGTATAATTGTGCATGCTGTGGAAAAAGTGAAGGATTTTTTTGTCCTTTTCTCATAATTTCCTGAACCAAAAGGGGTCATTCCATGAAGGTGATGGTGGGAGAGTCAGGGTTGAGCAAAGGAATGATTTCTTACAATAAACAATTAAAACTTGGCTATTTAAGATGTGGTGATGGACACTGTAACTTGAACCTGTTAGGGACTCAACAAGGCAAGGAAGGGTTAACTAACAAGAGGGATAAAATGTTAAAATTGCCAGGTGCGACTCCAGATCCCAGGATGATCAGCTAGGGTGTCCATGCCACTTCTTATTTTAAGAAATCCCAGAGTGCTTTGCCAAATAAAATCACAATCAAGTACAATAAAAGTATTCCAGTAGTGATAAAATACAAGCACTGCTGTAATGTTAATCCAGATGTTGCAGACAACCAGCCCCAAGAAGGGATGCAGTCAGTCTGCCCAGCCAGGAATGTGCAACTTGGATCCACAGGACTGAGAAAGAACCAAACTCGAGCAGAGAGATGAGGTAGTAGCATTTTTATAGGACAATAAGCCCATATTGAACATCAGGGGTACAACCTAAATCGCACATACTGCAGTACTGTTTGTGATAACTGTTATTCCTTTACATCAGGGGTGTCCAAACTTTTTGCAAGGAGGGTCAGATTCGGTGAGGTGAAAATGTGTGGGGGCCGACCATTCAGCCTGACATTCTTTGAACCATTAACATTAAATGCAAATGAACTATTTTATGAAAGACTAAACAAATAACTTAACTGCACTAATGTGAAGGGCGATACTGAGATCTCGACTGCATTATATAGGCCAGGTCTGGCTCAAAAACAGTGGTTTTGATGTGCAAGATGTCACGCAGGTGAAAGTCACTTAGTCTCGTCCTCACGCGGTTCTTGTTAATGTTCATAACCGAGCATGTCTTCTCGTACAAGTATGTCAAACCAAACAAGCTCAGCATTTTCTTAGCAAATGTTCGAATCTCTTGGAACCTGTCTTTATCCAGCTGGCAGTAAAAGTTGACAAGAGGGAGCTGTTGGTGCCGACTGCGACACTCGGCGTCACACTGCAGCTCAATGAGCTCCAGCTGCAGGTGGTCTGGAGCGTCATCAGGGTCCACAGAGAAAGGAGATGAAAAAAGCATGATCTCCTTTTCAATAGCTGCAAAATCCCGAAAGCGCTGTTGAAACTCCTCAGCCAGAGATGAGATGTCTGCTTCATACCTCCTTATTTGCGCACTCATATTGTTCTGTGGAAAACTGGTCATTATTTCCTGCAGCAATGGGAAATGCATGGTATTGGGCTGCGTTTGTGACAGGTGCCTTTGGAAAAGTAGCAGCTTGGTCCCAAAGGCTTTGATATGTGAATACAGTTGGCTTACCACTGCATTTTGCCCCGAAGGCTCGTGTTCAGCACGTTCAGATGTCGTGTTATCAACTAAAAATCCAAAATCAGCCAGCCAAACAGGATCAGATAGCTCTGGCATCGGTTGTCCCTTTTTTGCCAAGAATTGTCCGATTTCCTCCCTAAGAGAGTAAAAGCACTGCAGTGAAGACCCCCGACTGAGCCATCTTACCTCGTTGTGATACACAACATCTCCGTATTCAGCCTGGATATCGAGTAGAAACGGTTGAAACTGGCGGTGGCACAGGGCTTTGGAGTGAATATAATTAATAGCCTTCATCACCGGTTTCATAACATGATCATATTTCAGATGTTTGGCACAGAGAACTTGTTGGTGAATAATACAGTGGAGCTTTATAGCTTTGCCTCCTTCTTCGCTGACTTTGTTACAGACTAGGGTTGTTAATCCACTTTGCTCGCCAGCCATGGCAGGTGCGCCATCCGTAATAACCCCAGCGACTTTATTCCATGGTAGTTTCATGTCATCTACGACGGAACAAACAGAAACAAAATCTGTTCCTCTTGTTTGGTCCTTAAGGCTCTGGAGGTCAAATAGCTCTTCACTCACGTTCATGTCATTGTCCACTCCTCTCAAAAAAATCAATAACTGAGCAGTGTCAGATGCATCCGTGCTTTCGTCACAGGCTAACGAAAAAAAGTCAAACTCCACTCCTTTTGCCTCTAACTGTCTCTTAATATCAGATGAAACATCTTCAGTTCTCCGTACCACAGTGTTACGAGCCAGGCAAACATTGGCAAACTCTTGCTTCTTCTC